ATTGCCATATTTGTGAATATTTGATTACAGGAAAGAATCTCTCAAAGCAAAGAAAGATCAAGAGAAGACCATTGTATCAAGGAAAAAAATTTAAATAGGAGGAAGCAGCAGGACAAGTCTCACAAAACGTGACAGAGCAATTCTACACAAAGTAAGATAAACACTCTATGATTAGCAATAGGCGTAAGAAGCGTAGGTGTACATTGTATGTATTGCGAGAGTGTTTGTGAACTGCTTGTCAAGAGTTTGAGTTCCATCTAAAGGGATTCAACTTGTAGTTAGATCGGAATATATAAGATAAAAACCTTCACATTAGGTAGGTCTCGAAGGGTGAGCCACCTTTGAATCGAGATGCAAAACAATAGGCCAAACTTGAATAACAAAAGATCATGTGTCCTTGTTCCTCTCCTTATTCACCTTTGAGTCGATATGTAAAGTCACCTAGTCGAGCTGGCTCATGAGCCGAACAAGGATTAGCTCAAACTCAAATCATTAATAAACTAGTGAATTTTTTTTATTAATCCAACGGATTTTTATCGAATCTAATTTCAAGTCGGTCATAATTAACGGTTTTGCTCATTAACAACCCTACGCATGCATCTTGCTATTCAAATCGTTGAAAGCAATTTATCGCTATGCGCTGCGAGCAGCTAACTGTCAACGTGGTAGTTAGTACAATTGAACCTGGATCATGAGAGGGCAACAATCATAAATGAAGGTTGGTGTTTGGAGGGTGGGAACTGGGAATGGCTATTATTAGTTACTAGATTGGGGCCCGCCCGTTGGCCGGATGAATTTCGTTAATAGTATAAATAACCATAGTAATTGTTCGAAGGAAGAGATGGTTTATTTCCTACCTTAAAAGATTTCAAATAATTTATTTACTGAAAATATCATACTCGTATAATGTTCGACATGCTAACCCGATTTTCAACATCCTAAAAGCTCAATTAGACTACACTATTTGCTCATTGCTGCAATAAATTATTTCATATTTCATTTTGAATTCCTTGTGATCGCTCCTCCTACTTCAAACTTCAAAGCACCATCGTCTCCACCAAATACAATGCATTTTTCTTCTTTAGCGAAACCTTTATTTTCTTCCTTCTCTTTTCTTTTTTATTTTCATTGAAAGCTTATCTTTCATACTAAAGTGTTTGGAAACACTTCACATTACACGCAGTAGAATATACGTGTCATGAACTTTTTATGAGATTTATTCTTTCCTTAAGATGATACGCAATCTAGCGATCAACACAAAATTTGATATTCTAAAGATTAAAAACGTAATGAATAAAGAATTTCCTTAAGATGATACACAATCTAGCGATTAACACAAAATTTGATATTCTATAGATTAAAAACTTAATGAATAATCTTTAGGGGTTGACTATTCTCCAATAAGTACGTTTTTTTATCCTTCTTATATGCAGATTTTATTGTCCGATTTGTAGATAATGAATTAAGCAGAACTATCATGATCATTCTAAGTTGACTTTAGGAAGATTGGGATCTTACTCAATGTCCAGTCAGCATGGTGATACCCAATTTCATGGCAATCTAGCAAAAAATTGATGGCAGGATATGATTAGGAATTGACATATAGATCGGGTATACCACTATAGAAGAATTGATAGTTTATGAATGATATTATACATGATGCCATAGGATGCTAGAATAACATATTATTTTTATTCCAAATACATAAAAGTGAAGGTTTTGTATTCGGTGCCCACACTTTATTGGGTGCTTGCTATAAACTCACATCACAGTCGTAATTTTGAGTAGGCGATTCATATAAAAAATGATTTCAATCGTTACTTGTATGATAGACTAACGCATGATTTAGGGTTTAGGAATTTAGGGTTAGGGTTTACAATTTGGTATTTAGGGCAGTGCATTTATTAGTTATTGATCCTATGTTATATTATTATACTATATTGTTATGGTGCAAATTTAATTTGTACCTATATCTTTTCCTACAAATTCATTTATGATATAAACTGAACGTGTATCTTTAACCTTATGGTACAGTTTGCATCCATGTTCCTATTAAAAAAAACAATTTGCATCTATACATTGCAAATTTAATTTGTACCTATATCTTTTACTACAAATTCATTTATGATATAAACTGAACGTGTATCTTTAATCTTATGGCACAGTTTGCATCCAGGTTCCTATGAAAAAAAAACAATTTGCTTCTATACATTTTTGTACAAATTACTTTATAATACAAAATAAACTTGTGCAAAGAAGCTAGCCCACATAAATTAAATCCTTTTGTATTCATTATGACCTCATATGAATTTTTATGAGCTAAGCCCATCCGTCCTCCCTTTTCTACTTTGTGTAGCCCATATAAATTAATAGTGTTTTTACCTCAAGGTCCCTCCGCCCTCTGCGCAGGGGCCAGGGAAATTGGAATTGGTGAGGTCTTGCGGAAGAAACTCCATATACTAATGGTTTAGATTAGATTAGATTTAGATTACACGTATCGTATGTTTAACTTGCTAATCCCCAAAACCCTAGGCCTAAACCTAGTATATATTGGGAAACACACTTTGGTTGGACGATGGGATCTTCTGCTTGAGAAACGTCTTTTCGAGGGAAATCTAATTATTTTTTCTTTCTGGCAATCAATCGGGGCCATTGTCTAATCAAAGGGCAGAAAGTTGAGGATATGTCCCACCACATTGATATTGGTGGTTATTTATTTTAGGCCTGTCGATAGAAAATAAAATATTGCTCCATCTTCTCTGAATAATGCAAGAGACATTTGGAATTGCGATATAGGATTAGGCGGATATTGCATAATGTGCAAGGCGGAATATAGGGCTACACCATGTAGGAACAAAAGAACATTAGTGCGCTATATTATTATGTGTGCCTGCTCAATATATGATGGCACTAATGCATGTATAGGGAAATAAACGTGTCATATCAATGGCAAAAAAAAAAAAAAAACTTTATATTCTTAAAATGGATTGTGGGTGTAGAGTTTGAGGAATATTGTTTGTGGATTTGGAAGGTTATTCAATAAGCGAATTTTCAAACAAATTTACATTTGATCATGTAGCGGTATGTGGCGGTTTGGTTAACCTTACTGGAAAAGTATTAGAATTCGGAAAACCGAATTAGGCAATTACTGAAAATTGAATTTGATAAACTCTTAGTTATTTCGGTTTTGATTAGAATAAACCTAAAATCAATCCTTCACTATGTTAGGACTTGTGATTTTTTTTTTATGATTTTTGGTTTTAACTGGAATTGTTGAAGGCTTATCACTTTTTACCCGTTAAGGTAAATCGATAAACCTTTAAAATTGATTGGTTTTGGTTAAAACAAAAAAAATCGAAATCAAACCGCCAGCCCTAGGAGGTGCTGAGCAATCCTCATTTTGTTTTAGAGGCAGAGATCAAATGCTTTTTTGGGATTTTCCTTGGAGGGTCTGGATTGAACATGTTTTAGAAAGACCAATTTTCGTGACATACTATTTAGTTTTGTTGGGTCATTCTTATTTATAGGAGAACTTGTACGTGTGCGAACCCCATGTCATTCTTTGGAGGCTGGTTGTACCTCGATCAATTGGGGTTGAAACCTTGAGAGTTATTAATGAATAAAGGGTATAGCACATTTAACCGTCACATTTTCTAAAAAAAAGAAAAGAATTTTAAAAGTGGTGGACAAATAGTTTATCATTTGATCACTTTTAAATGTTAGGTCACTATGTTTATACCTACACATAAAACTAAATATATGCATAGGCTATTTATAATATGTGCATAATGAACCCGAAAATGGACAAGTGTGTGATGGGCGAGCTGATACCCTTCTTTGTTCCACTTCGATCGAGGCTGAAACAAAAGCTCTTCTTGAAGGTCTTAAATTAGCTCAAGAATATGGTACTGAATGTATTGTCCAATCCGACTGCCAAGTGTTAGTCAATGCTCTGAATCATGATCCGAGAAGTTGGCCATGGCGGGGAGCAGCTAGAATTGGATCAATGATCTCAATCCTGAGAGCGAACCCTCAAGTCAAGGTCATGGCGGTTTCACGAAAAAATTATTGTTAGAGCTGATTGGGTGGCACGGTCACTTGCTAGATTGTCGCTCCTAGATGTTTGGATTAGTATTCTTGACCTAATTTCCGATTTCCTTTGACGATGTAACCTTGTTTCTCTCAATTGGTGTTGGAATAAAAGATGATCTTACTGTTAAAAAAAAAAAAAACCGAAAATGATGAACGATGCCGGCCTAGAGACATTCTCATATTCTGAGCCCAATAGCTTCTTGCTCTGCGCCAGCAGCACTGATTGATGATGGCAACTATGACAAGAACTTTGCTAACAAAAAAAAAAAAAAAAACCGTACCAGATCGAGAGCCCCAAAATCATCACCAAAATTGACTCTCAGTTAGCTAACCTAGCTAGTTTCCCACTTCCAAGTTCCAAGTTCCAACACACACATCTCGCTCTCTCTCTCTCTCAGCCTGTCCATGTCCATCTCCATCTCCAGTTAAGTTAGCTAGCATGATTATGGACATATGCACCCATCTCCAAAGTTTCTATTGCCATTCTAGAGTTAACATTTGCTCCATCTCCGAATGCCGAAAAACCTCAGTCAGTCAGTCAGTCTCCAAAATCGACTTTTTTTGCGCCCACAAGGTGACACATTGAGAGAGAGCAAGTGAAGTTAATGTGCTACCACAGAGAGAGATCAGCTGGATCGATAGACACGGTGGACTCAACTCAATTTCTAAAGCGAAAGAGACAGAGAGATAAATAAATCCCTAAGCTTTGTAGCTGAGAGTGAGACATACATAATAGAGATAGAAATATCAGAACCAAAGAGAGAGAGAGAAGCCTTCTTCTGGTACGCTATTCTATGCATCATCTTCTATTGTCCACCACCACCCTTTTCCCTTCTTTGCCGCTTCTTTGTCTCCTCCATCCCCAAACCACGCCAAAAACTCTCTCCCACCACCATATCCTAATCTCCTCCACGTGTTCTCTCTCTCTCTCTCTCTCTTCCAACTTCTCCATCCTCCTTTCTCTCTAGCTCCATCTACTTCCACCATGCAAACGCCTTCTTTGACCAACATAACCTCAGCCGATGACCAACAACAACAACAACAACAAGAAGATGATTCCTTGCTCTTGCTTTCCCTCGCCCCTCCCGGCCAACAACCCATCACCCAACCTTCCACAAAAACCAATAATCACCACATGCTCAGCAACCCTACCACCACAAATGAAACTAGTTTCACCGGTGGTGGTGTAACCGTAGCTTTGCACATCGGCCTTCCTCCTCCTCCTCCACCACCGACAAACCCTAACCCTAACCCTAATAATAACGCCTCCCCTCCTCTTCCACTTGAGGGACAGTACTGGATCCCTTCCGCTTCCCAAATCCTCGTCGGCCCCACCCAGTTCTCCTGCCCCGTCTGCTCCAAGACCTTCAACCGTTACAACAACATGCAGGTTCATTTTCCCCCCTCCTCCATTCTCCTTCTTTCCTTCCTCTCATTTGGTTTCAGTCTTCTCATTTACGAAGTTTTGTTGTTTTTCAGATGCACATGTGGGGCCACGGATCTCAGTACCGAAAGGGCCCCGAGTCGCTTCGGGGAACGAAGCCGGCCTCCTCCTCGATGCTCCGGCTCCCATGCTACTGCTGCGCCGAGGGTTGCAGGAACAACATCGACCACCCGAGGTCGCGGCCGTTGAAGGACTTCAGGACACTGCAGACGCACTACAAGAGGAAGCACGGCGTCAAGCCGTTCGGGTGCAGGAAGTGCGGCAAGAGCTTTGCGGTGAGAGGCGACTGGAGGACGCACGAGAAGAACTGTGGGAAGCTATGGTTCTGCATCTGTGGGTCGGATTTCAAGCACAAGAGGTCGCTCAAGGACCATGTGCGTGCTTTTGGGGACGGGCATTCTCCACATACCGTGGAAGGGTATGTGGAGAATGGAGGAGAAGAAGATGATGATCAAGAAGAAGAAGAAGAAGATTGCAGTAATGATGATGATGATGATGAAGAGGAAGAATATTGTTATCCACGTTTGGACAATAACAATGGCGGGCCGGCTCGTCATCGTCATATTATTCATCGTGGTGGTCCGTTCCTCTACTAATTATCGACTGATTTTCAAATGGAAGTTATTAGAGTATAATTAGTCAAAATGGGTTTGGTCACTAATTGTTGTAGGTATTATGATGAATATAAGTCTGAATCTCACTTTAGATCGGATCATCAATACGATTCTATGTAGAATCGTGATTTTTCAGTTACCATCGAAGTCGAAATTTAGGCTTAAAAAGTACTTAGGTTTTTATGTATGTATCTGTAGATCAACAGAACGCTGGTTCTACGTAAAATCACGATTCTAAGTGGATTGGTGACGATATATGTAGGAATATCCGAAGGGCGTTATTGTTGAGGTGGTGTTGTTGTAGTTAATTATGGGATTGGGAGAGTGTGTGTTTTTTGTTTGGTATTTAAGATGAGGGTGGGAGGAGATGGAGATGGAGACAAACAGTATAGTGAAAGGCTGAAAAAGGCGATAGGTCCCTGGTGCAGTTATTACTACCTCTTGCAAGTGCTAGTTCTAAGTTGAAAGGTAAAAAAAGACAAGACCTCTTTTTTGGGTATATACCTTTTCCCCCTCTTTCCTTTCTGCTTTGCATTTAACGTACGGGAAAATAATAACTGAGAGAGGTAAGTAAGTTAAGTGAGTGAGTGAGTGAGAGCTAGTGATAGAGATAAGCAGCAGAACACAAACAGTGGTAGAGTCACAGATTCTACTGTTTCGTCTTCTTCTCTCCATCTCTCTCTCTTGCTTTCTCTTCTCACCTTTTACCCTTTTCTCAGTTCTCTCGCAGAGCTTCGACTACCACTGGAACACTTTGATCGAGCCTCTCTACTGGCAGTGAAACGAAAGAGAAGAGGGGAGAGAGGGGGGGAAAAAAGGGGTGGTTGTAAATATTGGACCACTTCTTTCCTTTTTTTTTTTATACTGGTTTTGGGGTTTCACCCAAAGGGTAATGCAACTTTGCCTTTCCTGGCTAACTACAAAGAGATACTGCTGCCACCACTTTCTTCAGCCCTAATGTATTTATTAGGGTGACAATGCATACATACATTATATACCCTATAGCTACATATAGGGATGACAACTTTGCCCATACCCATGGGTTTTTTACTATCCAACCCAATTGGGTTGGGTATGAAATCCAAATAGATGGATATGGGTAGAGTTTGATGGGTTTATACCCATACCCATTTACTTTGGGTTGGGTTGAGTTTATAACAAATGGATTTGGGTTTGCACCCATACCCAAATACAAATTACAGTTTGGTACCTAAACTTAATAGATATGCATATTTAGTACCTAAATTACAGTTTTGGTACCTACATTTTTTTGGTCTTACATTTTAGTACCTAAACTTTTCAAGTTTTACAAATAGATCCAATTTTTGCATGTGTAGTTAAAACACCTTCAAGTAAATGGATATCCATATCCAACCCATACCCATTTAGATTATGGAAGCAATATTCATACTTTACCCAAACCCATCTACAAACCCCAAACCCATATGCACTTCACCCATACCTAACCAATTATCAATGGGTCTACTTGGGTATAATTACCCATGGGTGGGTAATTGCCATCCCTAGCTACTTATAGATAGATAGGATAAGAGTCTCTACAATCATCCGGCGGTCTGGACCAAACTCATGAGAACCGCGGTTCAGTAGTGAACGACATTAATAGGACCAAGAATCAGAACATCATTATACTCGGTCCGATTTGGTTTTGTTCGATCTGTGGTTTAAGTGTCAGTTCGGGATGTTTCATCTTTAGTATTTATAAAATTTACAGGACCAAATACTGGAATGCATTATGTTCGGTGCGGTATGGTCAGGTCCCTACATTAGTCTGGTCCACGTGCGATTCTCTACAGACCAAACCATTGCACACCCCCGAGCTTATTATATATGCTTAAGCAATCCAACCCTCTCTCCTCTCATGGATACTACTGTTGTGGCATCATCAACCACCAGCAAAGAGGTAACTTGCAGCCATTGATCTCTGGTGTTTAGTCTTGTCTATACAACTACGTGTGTCATGATTGTCTATTTATTGTGTCTCCTCTAATAACCTGTCTTATCAATTATCATATACATACAAAGACTCCATCTTCATTATATATTACATCACATCCCATCCCATTATTCTGATAGGTTTTTAGTCACTTTTTGACACATTATGGAAAGTTTGCAGACTGAGTTTTGAGCCCTGACCCCATTTGACCGCCCACCTTTACATATGCGTGAAATGACAAACTTCAAATCTTTGAGCTTTGGATACTATCCCTGGGTTATATTTACTCGAACCTGCTGTCTACTTTCTGCCCTAGAACTATTTCCACCCTCGAAACTAATGATCTTTGTGAATCATCTTTTCAAGCCCGTGCTTGTTTATATATATATACTGGTTTGGTATAGGGGCTGAAGTGTTTATGCATGAGGCTGGTACCATTGAAACATATGTACATGTCCTCATGTGATTTCAGACTTTCAGTTGTTAGTTAGATTGGTTTATAAAATTGGCACCACGTGTAAATAGACGTATAGTTGAAGTCATGTGACATAGGAGGTTCGAAAGTTGCGATTCTATTGATATGTGTATTATTAGAAAGTATGTATTGTAAGGAGAGTAAATATTAGAAGCATATGATAATAAGAATATATCGTGTTTGATATTTGTCATACGCATTTTTCAAGGAAACGGAAATACTAATAACTGTGATGGCCCCAATAGGACTATACAATCTTAATGTTAATATAATATGAAGAAAGATATGAGTGGAGTATATAAAGATGATAGGGATAAGAGTGGAAGAAAATAAGTAATATAAGCTGAGGAAACAAATCTTACATTTTGGTTGGCATTTTATTATATATAAAGCATTCTAGTCATTTGAGATTTTAAGGTCTCATTTCATGCATTCTAGATAATATAGGTCAAAATAACCATTGATTGTACAAAAATACACGTTTTTTTGAAAATACTCATTTACATTTCGAACTTCCAAGCCACCCTACAGTTTATTTCGGAATATAACTTGACGACCATCAATATTTATCTTAGAGATGACAATCAAACATGAACAGTGGGCATTCAATCAGAACCAACTAGGTCAAACTGGGTTGTTGATGGGTTTTAGATCGAGTACATATTTTACCCGCGTTTGGAATTGGTCGGTTGGGGCTGGCGCGAGTTTGCCAAAATCCAACTCGCTTTCATCCCAAACCGCAACATAAAAGAATAACGACATCGTTTTGTATCTAACCCTAATATTATGGGTAATTTATAGATATTATTTATCTTTATAATAATATAGTCCTAATAACATGGATAAAGGTAGCTAAGTTATTAGCTTATATGATAGTATATAGTTCTAGGGAATTTTTCAATGATATAAGATTATGACAATCAAACATGAACAGTGGGCATTCAATCAGAACCAACTAGGTCAAACTGGGTTGTTGATGGGTTTTAGATCGAGTACATATTTTATCCGCGTTTGGAATTGGTCGGTTGGGGCTGGCGCGAGTTTGCCAAAATCCAGCTCGCTTTCAACCCAAACCGCAACATAAAAGAATAACGACATCGTTTTGTATCTAATCCTAATATTATGGGTAATTTATAGATATTATTTATCCTTATAATAATATAGTCCTAATAACATGGATAAAGGTAGCTAAGTTATTAGCTTATATTAGGGGTGGGCATTCGGTCGGTTCGGTTTCGACCGAACCGAAATTATGAATACCGGGTCCCCGAATTCTCCCAAACCTCAAACCGAATTCGAACCGAATTATAATTCGGTTCGGTCGGTTTAAACCAAATTATAATTCGGTTCGGTTTTTCACACAAAACCGAATTTGTAAGGCTACTTGTATTTTCTCACTTTTAAATTATTTTTTACCCCTAATATAAACAATAAATATGTAATTATATGCATCATCAATGAAAAATCAAAATTTTCAACACATAAGTCATAAAATATTTCAAATATTTAAGTCTAAAAACAACTACAAACATAAAAATCCACCATTTGAAGCTTACAACTATAGTATTTCGGTTTTTCGGTCGGAAATTCGGAAATTCAGTTCGGTTGAAAGAACCTTGGTTTCCGAAATATCCATATTTCCCTTCCGAATTCCGAACCGAATAGCATTATTTCGGTTTCGGTTCGGTTCGGGTTTACCGAACTGGTTGCCCACCCCTAGCTTATATGATAGTATATAGTTCTAGGGAATTTTTCAATGATATAAGATTATGAGTATTCGGAGGAATTGTTTGCGGTTATCTCCATGAACTCATGGATAACATGCACGTGTGAGTGTCTGTTGAGTTAAGTTTTATCTTCCAAAACTCTTAAGGATAATTTATTACAAGTTTTTAATAGTTGCACCCGTGAAATGGATTGGAGTTTTCTAAAAAAAATCGATCCATTGCCACTAGCCCACTAGCTAATTTAACTTCCAACAAGAGAGGGAATGTTTCATATAATGAGGGCGAGACAATTAGAGGACTTGATCGACTTCGAAAAGTCATTCAAAACTACCAATGAAGGAAAAGATGGCAACATCGCACGTAAGAAGAAACTGTAAAGAAAATAATTAAAAAGATGCTCTCTGGTGCATTAAGACAAACACCTTACCTGCACAAATTTTACAGTGAAGAAGGGGGGAAATCAAAAGTTTCGGTATCAGAGGGTTCTCAGAATCATCTGTCCGCATTATTATAGCAATATTGAAGCGATAGGTTTGGGAAATATTTCAGAGCTTCTCAATTACTTCGAGCACTCAATTTATCAATTGGTAGCAATAAGTTCTGCGAGTTCACAAGCATCTCTAAGGGTTGAATTTTTCTTTTTTGGAATTGAATTTCGAGACCTCTGATGAGGCCGAGATTCAGAGAAAGAGTAAATACCTTTGTCGTGAGAAAAAATGAAAATGGAGTGGTAGTTTCGTTCCGGCGCCCAGAACCAGAATGTGCATTGCACTTGTACGTGCGTTGGCTGGATCAGTGGTGATTGAAACCCTAATTTTGGTTGTTTTAATTTTCAGTGTACACCTAAGTACAAGTGAACATGGTAATGGGTCGACTAATTGGGTAATTTGATTCAATTATCATGATACATATGAGTATTGGGTCGACTCAAATGAATATATATGTACTTTTAATGGTTTTGAATTTGAGTTGAGTTTGAATTGAGTCCTATTTGGGTCTACTCATTTGGGTTAAACCCAAATGAATATTATTAAGTCTAATGATTGTATACAAGAAAATAATAGCAACTATATCATGAATTATGTTCAACTCAATTATAAACTTTTGTTTTACGGTAATTCAATTATACACTTTTGATATAGGCGTTTCCACCTTTCTATTTGTTTCATATTAAGAAATAAGACAAAAATTGCATTATAACTCGATACCAATTTTCTTTTGGACTTCCACTTTAAATTGAATTCATACCGAAACTAAACAAATAGATATAACATGCCACAAAAGTAAAATAACTCAAACTTGATTTGTTTCATAATAATTTGAGTTTGTGCAATACCCAAATATTGATACCTTTTTGACATCCTAAGTATAAGCATTAATTGACCACAACTCTGAATCCAGTTGTCCACAAATTCGATTTAGGGAGATGTTAGGCGTTGCGAAGTTTCTTGGATGGAGAAAGAGGGGAAGGGATAAGAGGGTCGAAAAAGTTAAACTGCTAACAGGAGAACTTGTTAGCATATACTGACATGGTGGAGATGATAGCCACGTCGGCCCACAAGTGATCCAAGGGAGGAGGGTTGAAGGCTTGTAATGGCTCACTTAAGTGAGCTGATCTTGGACTTGGAGATGAGCCGGCCCAGCCGCAAAACTGAAAAGGTGGCTTTGGCCCCACCATAATTTGGGCGGGATTGGGAAAGGAAGGAAAAGTGGCGCTGGGTCCACCACTTTTCTATTTCTCAACACCTTTTTTTTTTCTTTTTCTGTTTCTCACTTGTGTGGTTACAATGAATATTTCTTTTGGCTATAGAGGATATTTATTGCTAAATGGTTGGATATTAATTTGTGATATTTATCTATGCTTGTTTGTGTAGATATTTATCTGTTTTTCAGTATGAATATTTATTTTTTCATGAACTGATATTATATGCAATGAATATTAGTTTGTGATGTAATGGATATTGTGTATTCCATCAAAACTAACACACTATCAAGTCCTAACACATAAGGCTTGCAACCTTAGTTAGGGCTGCCCGCCGAGGGCCTATGGGCCGAAGGCCCATGAAACAATAATAGTAGGAGAGTGAGGGTTTAGGATTTACGATTAGGGTTTCGGGTATTGGGTTCGAGTTTTTTGGTTTTGGGTTTAGAAGGCTCTATCTCTAAAAACATCGACTTCTCTCTCTAAAAACTAATTCTCTCATCCCTGTTTCCCAAGATCTTGGTTCTACATCAATACGGTCGATTTTCCTTGCTTACCTCCCTTGACCCACTTTCTTTCCCGAACCTCACTCCTACACTCAGTTAGGTTCAAACAGATATTATTATGTGATTGGAGGATATTAGTTCGGGATGTGTGGATATTTTGGCCGTGTAGCTGGATATTATTAGTCTGTAACTGGTGGATATTAGTTAGGGTTGGTGCGGATATTTCTTATGGTATGAACGAATATTAGTCTGGGTGATGTGGATATTTTTTATGTTGTACGGATATTGGGGCACTTTTTGTAACTATTCCGATGTGATCCTTTGTTTATTTAAGCATGTAGCATCACAAACTTAGCCAACCATATTACACCAATTTACGGTTTAGCGATTAGGATTTAGAGTTAGGGATTTAGTGTTTAGCGATTAGGGTTTAGAGTTTGTGTAGTTGGTATTAGTCTGCGATGGCCAGATATTAATCTACGTGTGGTGGGTATTAGTCTGTGATGATCAGATATTAATCTGTGTGTGGTGGGTATTAGTTTGCTACGGTCATATAATAGTCTGGGTAGTTTGGATATTTGTTCTATGTGGATGTTTATCTACTGATTTGTATATGATTACATCAATTTAGGGTTTAGTGTTAGGGTTTAGACTTTAGAGTTTAGAATTAGGGTTTACGATTTAGGGTTTGGAGTTTAGGATTTAGGATTTGACTTTGGGGTTGAGGTTTAGAGTTAAGGGTTCAGGGTTCAAGCTTTTGTTTAGTGTCTACGATTAGGGTTTCAGATATAGGGTTTGAGTTTTGGTTTCGGGTTTAGAAGACAATATTGTGGAAATGATTTTGAACACAATGTAGGATGGTCGATTTTAGTGTGTGGTGATAAGATATTATTATGTGATTGGAGGATATTAGTTCATGATGTGTGGATATTTTTTCTGTGTAGTCGGATATTAGTGTAAGACATCCATATATTAATCTGTGTGTGATGGGTATTAGTCTGTGTGGTGAGGATATTAATTACAGGCTGACTCGATATTGGTCTTAGGCGGTGGGATATTACATATTAGTCTAGGTGTTCTGGATTTTTTTTAGTGTGAACGGATATTATTCTGGGTGGTTTGCATTTGTTTTTTTGTGGATGTTTATCTATGTTTGTTTGTGTTGATATTTAGTTTAAGCAAATCCATAATAAAACAAAGTCGTTTTTCGATAAACCGCGATACAATTAGTATTTATTCTCATTCCAACTTGGCAATCCCATAATCTAAAATCTAAAAAAGTATAACCACATAAAAAAAGGAAAATTTCAAATGTTGTCTTGTTTGTGCAAATTTTCGATTATCTTTTTTATCATGTCCCTCCGAGCCCCCCCCCCCCCCCCCCCACGTTTCGATTATGCCACGACAAGGTTGGGATGATCCTTCTCTTACGGTCTATTCGATGTTGTTTTTGTTCTTGCCATTGTCCAATATCCCTGAAACATATATAAATATCCACGTATAAATCAACTGATATCCCGGCCACGCAAAACTAATATAAGGTAACTATAATCCATACAATAAAGAGCAAACAAATATCCAGACATTGAGAACAAATATCCAAACATGGAGTACAAATATCAAGACATAATATTTTTAATATTAGGACATCACAGAACTAACATTATAGAAGTAATATCCAGATACAACGAATAAATATGCAGACATAATATAACAGATATCTCAACTGCACAGAACTAATATAAGTGAACTAGCATCCATATAAGGCAGAGAAATATCAAGACGGAGTAAATAAATATCCAGACACACATAACTAATATCCGAACAATCAATTACAGAACAATTCCACATCATAAAAAAGTAGTATCCCAAGCATGCTAATTGTTATCCACTATGAAAGGAACTAATGTTTCGGATCTACAAATCGAATCCTAGATCTCAACCACACAACTATCCAGACAATTGAAAACTGATATCCTGGCCGAACAGAACTAATATCGGAACGCACATAAAACATATCCACAAAACCCAGAAAACAATGAAACCCAGATCTAGTCAAATCCACAAAATCCCCAAACCTCAGCAACCCAAACCCAGATCCAATCAAATCCACAAACCCAGAAAACATATCCACAAGCATGCTAATTGTTATCCACTATGAAAGGAACTAATGTTTTGGATATATAATTCGAATCCCAGATCTCAACCACACAACTATCCAGACAATTGAAAACTGATATCCTGCCCGAACAGAACTAATATCGAAACGCACACAAAACATATCCACAAAACCCAGAAAACAAAGAAACCCAGATCCAGTCAAATTCACAAAATCCACAAACCCAGCAACCCAAACCCAGATCCAATCAAATCCACAAACCCAGAAAACATATCCACAAGCATGCTAATTGTTATCCACTATGAAAGGAACTAATGTTTTGGATATACAATTCGAATCCCAGATCTCAACCACACAACTATCCAGACAATTGAAAACTGATATCCTGCCCGAACAGAACTAATATCGAAACGCACACAAAACATATCCACAAAACTCAGAAAACAAAGAAACCCAGATCCAGTCAAAAAAAAAAAGTTCAAAACAAATATCATAAATGAAAACAACGATTATCCCATGCATGGTTATTAATATCACGAATGAAAAGAAATAATATCCTAAGCAACGATACTAATATCAATGGCACATAAAACATATATCAGAGATAAAAAGAACTAACATCCTAAGCAACGATACTAATATCAATGGCACAGAAAACATATATCAGAGATAAAAAGAACTAACATCCTAAGCAACGATACTAATATCAGTGGCACAGAAAACATATATCAGAGATAAAAAGAACTAACATCCTAAGCAACGATACTAATATCAAAGGCAAAGAAAACATATATCAGAAATAAAAAGAACTAATATCCTAAGCACATCAAATAAACAAAATCGACACAAACAGAACTAAATATCGACACAAACAGAAGCCATTCCACAAAACCCAGAAACAAAATCCACAGAAGAACGCAACCATGCAACCCTAACTCAAATCTGTCCAATCGAAAACTAATATCCACAAAACTATGCTTCAAACCTTACTTGATCAAGAACCCGAGTTCCCTGCAAAGCGCCGCCGCCGAGATCGCCGAGTTCGTCGCCGCCGACAAGATCGCTGCCGCCGAGATCGCAGCCGCCGAGATCGATGCAAGGTCGCCGCCGCCGAGATCTCCGAGTTCGCTGTAAGGTCGCCGCCGCCGAGATCTACAACTTCAGAACTCCGACTTCGCTGCTTCGTCGCCGCCGCCGAGAACGCCGAGTTTGCTGCTTCGTCGTGGCCGCCGAGATCTCTGCCGCCGACTTCGCTGCCGCCGACTTCGCGACCACCGAGTTCGTGGCCGCCGAGTTTGCTGCACCGCGGCCGTTCGTCTGCGTTTGGGAGAGGAGGAAAGGGAGAGGAAAGGGAGAGAGAAAGGGAGAGAGAGGAGGGGAAAACCAAATGGGCGGAGAACTGAAAAGGGGTAGGTGGTTTAGGGTTTTTTTTTTGGGTTTTTGAATTAGTGGGCCCGACGGGCCCCACAAGCCGCTGTGGGTTTTGCCCAGCCGATGAAATCGGCTCATTCTCTCCTCCACCGATGGATGCAGCCTTGGCGACGTGGAGGCCGATCCGCCCCTGTTAGCATCTCCTAACAAGTGCCCTTGTTAGGAGCATAACTAGATTGATAAGAGGGTAGTGTTATCTTGGTGCCTCTAAATATTTTTCAGTGATAAAGTATTTGTTAAAATCCATATATATCATCCATGTAGAACAAAAAAATGATTGAATTTTTGCCACATCATTACAAATTGTCAAATTAGAGTCAAATGATGTTTGGCCAGATGGAAAGTTAAAAATTGATAGTTATTTTAATTAAAATAAAATATTTAACTCTTATATGGTCGTATTCCTTTTTAAAAATAACAAATGTTTAGCCAAAATAAATATATATCCCTGTGACATAGTTAAATGATTGGCTCATGGCCACGTAAGCACGAATTGGTCACATCATACCTCTTTTTATTACTTGTCATCCTTTATAAAGTTTGTGGTTTGCTTCATAAGGTTTCTGCCTTTCTGGTGTGGTTTCTCGTCTTTCTGACATGCTTCATGAGAAGTACAGAGTGGTTGCACATATTTCTGGTATGCTTCATAAACTTGTGGTCTTCTTTATGAGGTTCTAGTTAGTTTCAGAGAACTTGTGGTCTGCTTGATGAGGTTTATAGTATGTTTCAGAGAACTTGTGGTAAAACTTTATGAGGTATGTGGTTAGGTTAATTTGTAACGTCACCAGTGATCTCCGGCGACGATGGCACAATGTGATGGTCGGAGATGGTGTCGGTAGTCGATGGATTCCGACGACAGTGATCGACCGACGTTAGTTGTCGGAAATATAATGGGTTTTTATGATGGTGACTGATGGGAAATGATTGTTTGGAGAGTGTATTTGGAAAAGAAAAGATTTTTTGTTAGAGGTATTTAAATAAATTTAATTTGTTTAGAACTACAAATAAGCCTTAGGGTTACAAATAGCACATCCCTGTATAAAACTTTCAACACATCACAAGAGGCAGCTTAGCCCCGACCAAGAGGGTGTGCCGAGCGGCCCTCCGACACAGGGCCTCCGATTAGTAGGGGCCTCCACGTGGATCTGTTAGTTAACCCAATCGTATATTGTAGATTGTATTTGTAGTGTATAATTAATTGATTATAAGTATGATAATGAATTATATTAGTTAATATTAGTGTTAGCCATTGTTTACTTTTCTCACGCATGTATATATACACTAGACACTTATATATACACTATACATATCCTATTTGTTTTAAAAAAGATAATAGAAGAAAAATTTAATGAAATAGCTACGATAACAATTGAAATTATCCCATTGAGAATACAAAAATTAAAGGCATAATAGATAATTTTAAACAATAGTAGAAAGAAATTACATTTCAAATAATTACGATGTAAATATTTTAATTGATTATAATTAAAAATCAATTTGGATCACATCTCAATTTTGGAACAAGGCCTCCACGGTCCATTGAACGGCTTTGAGGCAGCTAACTCTAGGCTTAAACAAATAGAGCTTTATACATCACTTTCTACAAAGTCCACTTCATAATATAACCTTATAAAGCGGGTAGTTGATCAAATGATGACATAAGTTTATACTTGTAATAAAATGATGATAAATATTTGGTGAAATCATCTATCCAATTCAGGATGATATATATATAGTGTACTTAGAATTTTCTCTGTATGAACTCTTCAAGTCACCCGTCGCCGGCGGCTTTTGTGTCTCCCCTTGGGTGGCCGCCGGATCCGTCCGGTGAACATCTGAGCGTCCCTCCAGGGGAAAGGGACAAGGAGGGGGACATGACCCAGAAGGAGCCCTCTGGGACGGAGATGCACGTTGACCCAGTCGAAACCACAGGGGATCCTCCTGCGACGAACAAAACGGCTGAAAGCTCCTAGTCTCTTCTCCCTACTGCGTCGTATGCCGGAGTGGTGGCCGGAAAGAGCAGCTCATCGGTGGCGCCGGTGAATCAATGGATACCTGTCGGGGAGCGCGACCTGGTTCCGGGAACTTTTAATGGAGAGCCTGAATTGACCATATCTAATAGCTTCAGGAACCGGCTTAGTGCACCGTGGCAGAGAACTTTGGTTGTCCGCTTGCTTGGGCGGTCAATTGGGTATGCGACGTTGTGCTATCGTCTCAGGGCTCTGTGGCGGCCGACTGGATCTATGGATGTCCATGCTCTTGACCAGGAGTTCTTCCTCGTCAAGCTCGGGAATGACCAGGATTACTTTAAGGCTTTGACAGATGGCCCGTGGATTATTTTTGATCACTACCTCATTGTCCAGCAATGGTCTCCATCTTTTCGGGTTTATGATAAACTCCCAAGCACTATGGTGGTTTGGGTTCAGCTGCCGGGTTTCCCAGTCCACTTCTATCACAAGGAAATCCTGTTTTCGATTGGCAACATGATTGGTAGATCGATTAAACTCGACTACCACACACAGAATCAACAAAGAACTAAGTTCGCCCGTTTGGCGGTTGAAGTCGATCTTGCCAAGCCTCTGGTGCCTCGGATCCGCCTCGACGGTAAATGGCAGAAGGTGGAGTTTGAGAACCTCCCTACTGTGTGTTTTGAATGCGGAAGAGTGGGTCACACAAAGGTTACGTGCCCGCAGCTCCATCAGCCGAGGCTTCCCGCTACGCAAACTGGTGGTTCCCCTCCTTTGATAGGCGCCGGCGAGTCTGAGACGCCGGAGGTGAGCGGCGGCTTCGGCCCGTGGATGATAGTGACGCGAAGATCCAGGCGAAACCAGCGGGAGTTACCAAATCAGGAGATGCAGCCAATAACTAATGGCGCTGATCACGAAAATCTCAAGGCGCAGAAGGGGAAAGCAGCGCAACAACAGGAATCCGCGGAAGGAAACTCTCCCCGTCAAGAGGCAGTTAATTCCCGACAATATCAGAGGAGCCCAAATCAGAACAAATCTTCAGGGAACAGGGAAGGGGATAATCTCCGGAGGGGAAAGGAAGGAAATGGCAAGAATAAAGGAAAGGAGAAGGTGGATAGCAACGGGTCTGCAGGAGGGAAAGGGGTGCTGGGCTCTGGCCCGTCGGGCCCTATTTCTTCACCAAAGAAGCCCACTCTGGATAAGGACAAGGGGGAAGCCTCATCCTCAAAGGTGCAGGAGATCGGGCTCGATGGGCACAATATGGGCCCTAAAGACCCGAAGCCGAGCTGGGAAGGTGCAAGGGCTGCTAAAGCCCATGTCCATAATGGGCCGAAAGGAACAGCCATGCGGATTGTTGAGGCCTCTCCCTATCCCTCTCTGTCGGCCAAAACTGAAACAGAGGTGGCTCCGTCAGCTACTGCTCGGATCAGACAGAGAAAGAAACAAAACAAGGAGGAAGGTCGGGGAAATCGTGCCTCTCCCTCCAAAGCTATGAGCGTTCGGAAAAATCCCTCCAAGGCTCTGCAAATTTGGTCTCCCAAGAAGGAGAAGAAATCCAAACTCAGAGAAAGGAGGGTTTCGGTAACACTTCAGCAAATTGAGGAATGAACCTCGGCAGCGGGGATTAGGGATGCGTCTGTAGAGGATATATCGCCTGCTGCTCTGCAGAGCGAGGCCGGAGGAGCAACGAATGCCGCCACGGAAGCCCCTCCCTCTGCCTAACCCGCGCTGGCGTCTCTGGGCCTCTCGGCTTGTGTTTCTTTTTCTGTCTTTTCTCTTGTTATTTATGTCGATGTCTTTCAAAATGTTTGAGCCTTTTAAACTTTTCTCTTGGAATGTTGGAGGAGCTGGGGGGAGAGCTTTTGCTCGCTCTTTGAAGCTTGCTCTTCAGTTACATAAACCTGACTTTGTAATTTTGCTGGAACCCCAGGTCAGTGGCGAGGTGGCCAACAGAGTTTGTGACAATTTGGGCTACTCGGATGTCGCCAGGGTCGAGGCAAATGGGAGGAGTGGGGGAGTCTGGATTTTCTGGAATGGAGGCTCCTTCTCGGTGGATATCGTATCGGCCGGTCCTCAACACCTCTCTCTCATGGTGGGCAAGCCGAATTCTCCGAGGTGGCTCCTAACTGCGGTCTACGCGTCTCCGCGCCAGCAGGAGCAGAAGCTGCTTTGGAATTACTTGATCAATCAAAGTAAGGAGATTGCCTGCCCGTGGGTGTTGACTGGGGACTTCAACGCGATTTTGACCCCGGAGGAGAAATAGGGAGCGCCCACTGCAGCTACTCTCCGGCGGTGTCGGAGGTTCAGTGACTGGATCAATTCGGCTGAGCTGGTGGACATGGGGTTTTCTGGCCCGTCCTTTACCTGGTCTAGAGGACGCGATACTTCCTCATACAAAGCTAGCCGCCTTGACCGGTCGCTCTGCAACCTAGCGTGGAATGAAGCCTTCCCAGACACTGCTGTTGTTCACCTCCCACGCCTGAGTTCAGATCACAATCCGATCTTGACTACTGTCTCACCTCAGGGAGTTCCTCCTCACCTCCCCAAAAAGTTCAAATTTGAGGCCGCCTGGCTTACTCATGATAGTTTTCAGAATTTGCTTACTTCCTCTTGGAACTCGCAGGTGGCCCTTCCTCAAGCTCTTCAGGAATTTGCCAACAAACTTCAGGACTGGAACTTGTCTGTCTTTGGGAACGTGTATCACAGGAAGAAGAGACTGTTGGCAAGGATTGGAGGTATTGAGAAGAGGCTCGCGGTTGCCTTCTGCCCGGGATTGGCAAAGCTGCATGCTAAGTTGGGGGCTGAGTTGGATAAGACCATGGAGCAGGAAGAGATTATCTGGTTTCAGAGAGCCCGGGAGAAGTGGGTCAAGTTTGGGGAGCGCAACACCGCCTATTTTCACCAAATAACCAAGATCAGAAGACGGGCTAATAAGATCGCTTGTTTGAAGAGTGATAATGGCGACTGGATCCATGATGTGCAGGAGCTTAAGAACCTGGTTTTTAACTTTTACGTGGATCTTTATACGCAGGTGGATGACCAGTACGTTGACCGCATGCCAAAAGGAGCCTTCCCGAGACCTAACCAGTCAGAATGGCTTGAGCTGCTGCGTCCCTTTACGATCCTGGATATCCACAGGGCGATTTTTGACATGAAGCCTCTGCAGGCTCCCAGTCCGGATGGCTTCCAAGCGATCTTCTATCAAAAATCGTGGAGTGTAGTGGGGAAAGCTTTGACAGACATGGCGATTTTCTTCTTCGAGAATGGATCTCTGCCAGAAGAGGTCTCCTCGTCTACAGTGGTGCTTATTCCAAAGGTGGAGAATCCGGAGTCTGTCAGTCAGTTGCGGCCTATCTCCCTAAACAACGTCAATCTCAAGGCGATCACTAAAGCCATGACCAGCAGACTTAAGCCGCTTATGAGAAAGTTAATTTCCCCTCGCCAAAGCAGTTTCATCCCGGGAAGACAGACGTCGGACAATATCCTTATTGTTCAGGAGGTGCTGCATTCTCTCAGGAAGAGGAAGGGGAAGAAAGGGGGAATTGTGGTGAAAATTGATCTTGAAAAGGCGTATGACAGGTTGCGATGGGACTTTCTCAGGACACTTTGATAGAAGTTGGCCTCCCGAGCTCCTGGATCCACTGCATTATGTACTGTGTGGAGCACAATCACATGCGTATTCTGTGGAATGGAGAGCTCTCGCAGCCTATCACCCCAACCCGCGGAGTTCGCCAGGGAGATCCCCTTTCACCCTATCTTTTTGTTCTTTGTATTGAAAGATTGTCTCATAGAATTGATCAGGCAGTCCGAGACAGGGACTGGAAGCCTATTAAACTTTCGGCGAATGGCCCGGCTCTCACCCATCTTTTTTTGCAGATGATCTCATACTGTTTGCTGAGGCGGAGAGGTCTCAAGTACGGGTCATCAAGCAATGCCTGGAGGATTTCTGTGAGAGCTCGGGTCAACGGGTCAACTTCAGCAAATCTTCCATGTTTGTGTCGCCTAATGTCAGGGAGGAGACTGCGCAAGTGTTAAGTGCCAGAGCTTCGATTCCTCTAACCAAGGATCTGGGGCGCTACTTAGGGATTCATGCCATTCATGGCAAGGTCTCTAAGAATCGCTACCAGAACCTCATCCTGAGGATTAAGAAAAAGCTAGCGCCTTGGAAAGCTCGTCGATTGTCTCTGGCTGCAAGACTGACGCTGGTTCGATCTGTATCCTCCTCCATTCCTACCTACTCTATGCATACTGAACAATTACCTGTTAATGTTTGCAACACTATAGACAAAATTAATAGGGACTTTGTTTGGGGCAAAGAGGAAGACCAGGGGAGAATGCACCTTGTGGCTTGGGAGAAGCTCTTGGAACCGAAGTGGCAAGGAGGAGCGGGGCTTCGGAGTTTAAAGCAGGCAAACCTCTCCCTTCTAGCGAAGACAGGTTGGCGCCTCCTGACGGAAAAAGATAACCTTTGGGGCCAAATCATGAAGGAAAAGTATGGTAGGAAGCGGGATGGACTGGAGATGCTCCGGGCGCGTCAGGGAAGTTCTTTTGCTTGGAGAAGCATGACTAAAGCTTCTAGTTTATTGAAACAGGGCCTTGCTTGGAATATTCATAATGGTAAGAACACTAAGTTCTGGAAGGATGTTTGGTGTCTGCAGGTCCCCCTGATTGATGTTGCGGTGCAACCCATCCCGGAGGAGAGGTTGGCGGATTCGGTGGCAGACTATGTGGATGAGGATGGAGGCTGGGACGTGGGGCGTTTGGAGGACTGGCTGCCAGCGGAAGCCCTGAACAAGGTCACGGCGGTGGCGGTCGACCCGCTCTCGCACACCGACGATACACTTTTTTGGTCGGCTTCTGAAAACGGTCGATTCACAGCTAAATCAGCCTATCTCATGGCGTATCCCAGACATTCGGGGCATAGTGAAGGATTGTGGAAGAAGATTTGGCGGCTTCACGTCCCGGAGAGAGTTTGTGTTTTTACCTGGCTGGTGGCCTTGCGAAAGATTGCAACCAATGTGCTCAGGTTCACCAGGAAGTGCGCGGCCTCCCCGGATTGTCACAGATGTGCTGGCACCCCGGAGACTATCCTGCACACTCTTCGAGACTGCCCGCCGGCTGCTTATTTCTGGTATAGGCAAGTTCCCTCTGCGGAGCATCACAGTTTCTTCTCGGCTTCTATTGAGGGTTGGATCAGCAGCAATGTCAACCAGGATAAGGAAATGGAATCAGGTATGGCATGGAATGAGGTTTTTGCCTCAGCTATCTGGTTACTGTGGAAGAACAGGTGCACAGCTTGCTTCAAAGGGATTGGCGCTGCTTTGACTGCTCCCACTCTAGCAAATTCTATCCTCCACAAGGCTTCTCTCTGGCACATGGCGTGGAAGGCGGACAATGCAAATCAGATTCAGGGCTTCCCTGCAGCCCCTAGGATCCTGGCGAATATCAGTTGGGTTGCTCCTCCCAACGGATGGATGAAGTTAAACGTTGACGGGGCCTCGGCTGGGAATCCTGGGCAGGCTGGCGCGGGAGGGCTAATCCGGGACGAGCATGGGAGGTGGCAAGCCGGTTTCGTGGCTATGATCGGGGAGGCGACCGCGGCTTTGGCCGAACTTTGGGCTTTGTTTCATGGTCTGAATTTGGCTTGGAAATACAGGTGCAGTAACCTTCTGATCGAGACGGATTCTCAACTTGTGATTCAGTGGCTGAAGAGCAGGGGTGACCCTCTTCACCCTCATGCTACTTTATTGGCTTCTATTAGGAGACGTATGGCGCAAGACTGGTTGGTTAACATAGCTCATACATACCGGGAAGGGAATAGAGCCGCGAACTGGCTCTCGAAGCACAGTCTCGTCTATCCCTTTGGTGTGCATGAGCTTGTGAACCCACCTTCTGGTATTGGTAGCATTTTGCAAGATGACATGAGAGGTATCTCTTTTGAGCGTAGAGTGATTGCCACCCGTGCTTTGTAACCTCTCTTCCCTTGTTCTCCTTTCTTGGCTTTAGCGTCCCTGTACGCAAAAAAAAAAAAAAAAAAAAAAAAAAAATTAGAATGTAATAAATATGTCATATATGCTTCATTTCGTAACTTTTTCTATCCAAAACATTCGATTAACTTGTCATGGATAAGAGATATTTAAAAGTTGGTTAAGTGTCTAATATTTATTATTAAATTTGGGAGTGGGTCACCAAAATGTAACCGACCTTATATAAATTTTTTGATTAACCTACAAACAATCATCTATCATCTAGACAAATACAAACAACAATATATATAAATTGATAAAAACATATAAAAATGCACGCCTGGTGGGATTCGAACCCACAATCCCCTGATTAGAAGTCAGATGCCTTAATCCATTAGGCCACGAGCGCTTGTGCTATTTACAATTATATTAAACATAATTAAATTAAACTAATAATCCCAGATTCCAGCTAATAAAACAATGGTTCAGTGTAGGTAGATGATCGCGGGCCTTGGCCTCCGGCGACGGTTCTACCCGGACACAATCAAGTGAAGCTTCCCCTCCGATCACCGCCGAAAAGACTCATCGTACAGCACCTGAACCGAGATGTGGCCGTAAACCCCCGAAATGGAAGCTGTGGATGGCCTCGTATCGATCCCCTTTCTTCTCCGCGACATGTTGGACTGGCACGCAGATTCAGGAGGTGATCCCCAGCCGCTTGTTGAGGTCGCCGATGCAGAGTTTGTTCGAGAAAGGGACCAGGTCACCGACCGCGAGTTGCCCAGGTTTCTGACTGAATTTTCAGCACTACTGGGCTTCCCTGTCTCGCTCATCTTTACTCAGATTCTCAATAGACTTTGTGTATATATATTCAGTTCGAATATTCGATTCCAAGGATAGGAAATTGCAGTCAATTCATGGGAAAGAAACACATCAAATAATCAGTACATTCAATCGATCTTCCTAGATTTGTGTCCTAGCTGCTGCTGCTTTTGGAACTGGAAAGTCCATCAATCCTTGCCATCATCACCTTGGCTTCTCCATCATTGAGCTGTAAGTATTTCTAGAGCCTGCCTGTCTACAGTATATATGCTTCACCTCAAAGTTTTTGTCTTCCTCGTGACCTACTTCCCTTCCTCTTGGTTGCAACCAAATTGCAGAAATTGATGATGCTTGGGATGGAATAGAATGTCTGTCGTCATTATCACAGCACAACATACTCTACTCTGCTACCATGGACCGCCTCGAACCCTTCTCATTGCTACCAAAATGTCATCACAGTTGAAGGGTTTAGTGAGGTGAGAATCCATTCCAGCTTCAACTAATCTTTCCAGTTCTTGCTTTGATGTATGCCCTGTTACTCATATAATAGGTGTGTGAATCCCATACCGTCTCTCCTCCTCCCTTATTGCTATCGTCGCTTCACATCCATCCATCTTATCCATCTGTAGTGACTCGATCAATAACATGGAAAAGAGAACACATAATTTTAGTACAATCTATGAATTATTATCATGTGAAAGAATAAGCTAGTTCATAAATTGATTCATCTTTCACCTCGCAGTCCATGATGATACAATCGTAAGGAGGGACTGGAGTAGTAGCTCTACTCCTAGCTTTGTGTTTCATGCCAGCTCTAAAACACTCCACCGCTTGCAGCCCATTTTCACACTGCTCACACTTGGCTCCTCGCTTTGAAAGACTGGACACCGATATAACACAAATAGTTGCCTAATCATCTACAACCAAGAATGTTAGTCCATCCAAAGGCAACTTCTTGTCCCTCCTTAGGGGTTTCACCACATCATCATCATGTTCTTCCTCAATCTCCGAGCGCCCAGCAACAACCCGAGGTGTGATGATCATCTGATGCCTTGCAGCAGAAGCTGAACTCCTCCAGTCCTCAAAAGAGTCCCTTGGTTGGTGTTGTTGCCTTGTTTTTGTCAGCTGCTTTGAGAGCATGGTTGTCCCTTCGAACTTAGGCAGATATTTGATCACTTCATTCAGACAAGAACCAAGAAATGGTTTCAGCAGTATCTAATCGCTCGGATCTGTCAAGTCCTTGTTAACAGTTCTTGAATTGGGTTTGTCAATCCAAACAACCTTGAAGCTAGAATTGTGAATCCCTCTTCGAAACTCTGTGACAACCTTGTGAAGTTCATCGAACGGTCCAGCACTAACATCAATCACAAGCATAACAAATCCTCCTGACCCGATTCTGCCGACGGGTTTTCCCTTGTGAGAAGAAGTCGGTCTCTCGTCCAAGTCTTTCATGGCGCTCAAAGGAAGTTCCTTTGATCTGCCACTGCTGGAGTTCACACTCCGTGAGCCCACCTAAGATTTTCCTGAAGAACTGAGTGGAGAATAGCTCTGCTTGGACTTTATTTTCTGAGCAAAGGTTGGAGGTCTTTCCACTGCTCTACTGATACCTTTATCCCCAACTTCTCCATCAACTTCTGTGAAGCTGCTCGTCGTGCTTCATTATGAATCATGAGAACTACATGGGACTCGTCACCCAGGGGACTGGGAACGAACATGGTCAAGCGTGGACTTGGGTTACAATTGGCCAAGCCTGGAGCAGCAGCTGAAGTTCTTATGGTAAGCCTTGTGTCATAATAGTACTTGTTTCTCAGGTTACCATCTTCTGTGCTCTCATCATCTGATGTCTCTATGTCTCTTATGTTATTAGTATGATAATTAGTAGTCTCATACACAGTAAGGATGGTATTGAACCTGAAGCAAGTGCCCTTCTCGTCTTTCTTATCGACAATTCCGATTTCACCTCCCATTAGTCGCACCTGTTTCATAGAGAATTATACATGAGTTGAGAAAGACAAGAACATATTTTGGTTGTCAAGAAAGTAGGCACGGTTGTTTAGTTCAGTAACTCACCAAAGATTGAACGATGCCAAGTCCTAAGCCAGTGCCAACTTGCCCCTTAGAAGTTTCTTTCACTTGAACATAATTTTCAAAGATCGATTTCTGCTTATCTTTATGAATTCCTTTACCAGAATCATCAACCTCAAAAACAAACTCCATCCCATTAGGAATCATCTGCTTCACTGAACTCACATCATCTTCCTTGTTATTGCCTTCTTCTACAAGGTTCCACTTGATCAATTTTGACACCCATTTGGAGCAACCGTCTGGATGCGAAGCTATGATCCGGCTCTCCAAACTTGGTTGTTGAGCCCTGGCTCGGACCACGATTTGCCCTTCGTCAGTGTACTTCACAACATTGCTCACCAAGTTCCATAGCACCTGTTTCAGCTTTTCCCTGTCGCCTCTTACATGACCAAACTTGAGAATCGAGACATCTGAAAGATCTAGCACCAGATCGACGCCTTTTTCCCATGGCCATAGGATGAAATAAATTGACTACATCCTCTAGAACTCCTGCTACCTCTAATTCTTCTTCTTCCAGTTGCATCTTGCCTTCTTCAAGCTTGCTTGTGTCCAGAATGGCATTCAAGAAACCTGGATGATAATGAAAGCAGCAGCGTCATGAATTGACGATGAATGTCATTTCCATCCAACCCCATTTCCAAATCCTTACCTACTAAGTCCTTTGTGGAATCATGAATGGCTTTCAGGTTTGTTGCTGTAGCTAAATCTTGAGGCAAATCTCATCGCAATCCTGTATGAAACCAACAATGGGTGTCAACAAGTTACGAATCTCGTGACTTGCAGTGGCAAAGGCAAGACTCTTCTTCAAAGACTTTCTCTCGGCTTGTTGAGTGGCTTCCATTTGCTTTATTAATCCTCTACATAGTTGAGTTTCTCTTATTTCAGCCCTTGCTATGAGCAGCAGAAAGCCAAAGATTGAGACGAAAACTGTAGCTATCATTATCATCAACAGGCCGAAAGCAAATCTTCTCCCCCTACAAACTGCAGCACTTCCCTGTGACTCGTCATTTGGAAAAGCCAATGCATAGACCTGAAGTTAAATAGTAAGTTAAATAACATCCAAAGATGTCTTATTCTGTTTCTCAAGAAAGAAAAAAAAGAAGATTATCCACTTACTGATTCAACTCCAACAACTTCAACTGAGGAACAATATACTTTGTACTCTTGTTGTCCAATGTTGACAACTGATGGTACAGTCAGCATTCCACCGCCCATAATGCAGGTGACATTATTGCCAGCAACAACAATGGATATTGAGTTGCTATTCATGGTTACAATCTGAGATTCTGGAATCCCTTCTAAAAGCACTTGATTACCATCTCTCGTGGCCAACTGCAGCTTCCCTCCATGAAGGTCAATGCTAGTGAAGAAATGTGTGAGAGTTTCTGCTGAAATTCCCAGCAAGACTGCCGCTTTACGATGCACACCGAACATGGTGATGAACATGAGGTCTTCATCTTCAGAACTGCTGTTACATCCTCTGCCCACTAAAGCATGCTGCTGGTTGCTACTATGCAAAGCGTCCCGAGCCCACCTCCTGATGGCTACAATTGGGAAGCTGGATTTCTTAGCATTTCCATATAGTTTTCCTGTGTTTGAATCAACTGGTTGCTTATAAACCGTGTGGCCCATATAGTACATTGCAGAACTTTTGTTTCCCTCATAGTAGTAAGAGAAGAAAGGGTCGTCCAATCCAACATATGCAATCTGTGAGATGTAAGGTAGTGTTGCGAATGCGTGGAACAACAAAGGAGCCACCTTTTCGGCGGGAACAACCAAAATCATTTAGTTAATGAAGGAACTCCATGAGTATACATTTTCTATTGAACTTAGCTTGAACATAATAGAAATTTGCCTTGGCTTGGACGACATCAGGTAGTGAGATATTAGTTGCATTAAGAGAAGAACGAATCATGCTAGCCAAATGAATGGCAGGTGAGTTGAACTGCTGAAGCAGCTTGGCTGCTTGCTCAATCTGAGACATCATTTCAGTATGGAAGTTGTTGGAGTTGGCTTCCACCATGTCCTCTACGTGGTTGGTTTTCTGATACCAGAACCCAATTGCTAAACTGGGAATGAGCAGTACTCCAATCCCCTGCATATACATGAAAAGCCAAAGCAATCAGTTTAGGGAGAGTTCTTCATTGAAAGTTGACAAGAGAATTAGAGATGTTGTGCTATGTACCACAACAATGGAGACTGAAATTGGCCTTGAGACTACAAGGCTTCTGAACTTCTTGATCATGGTGGTAAATCAATCTCCACAATCTCACGATTCACTGGACGTGAAAAGGGAACTTGAGAGAACAAAATAAGGCAGATCAATCTCACGATTCACTGGTCTTTCCATATTCGTGGATTTGTTGAATAAGGCAACTCCATTGCTCAAATTATTTCCTTCCTTTCCTGAACCGAGATGCGGCCGGAATCCCCGAAGTAGAAGCTCGTAGTTTTCTACCGAGGAGAAATGGGCCGGCCAGACCAGACCATGTTTCTGACTCTGTTTCAGCACTTGCTGGGTTTCCCCTGCTTCGCTCGTTTCATCTGGTAGACGTTCAGCTCTCTGCGCTTGTTACTGCGAAATATAAACTGATATGAACTCAGTTGTCTCTGACCATGTTTCTAACGTCTAATCACCCGCCTAATTCGTGAATACTCAACAAACTCATGAATTTGAATGTACGTCGTGCATGCCATTTAGATAAGTAAGAAGTAACCCGATCGATGTCTAATTGTGTATTCGATGAGTTTGTTATAAAAGTGTACTGTGGGATCATCATATGAAGGAAAGACAATGTCTGCAAGTTGAAATGGTAAATCGAAATTTATTTGACGTATAATTCTTCCTTTTTGATACACCACTGGCTTAGAGAGAAATCAAGACATTCCTCCTTTTTCTTCTTTCCCTCTCGAGTGTTGGTGTTGCTAGCTGCTAGACTAGAGTTAGAGAAGACCATCTTTAGAGTTGCTTCTTCTTTCTTTTTTGTGTATCTTCTCTCTTAGTCTACTCTGCTATTTTCCAGCTTATTCTTCCTTTCTCATTTCTCCACACTATGTTTTGTATTTTAATGCATGGCTGAAGACGGTTTAGAAATGAGAGGCATACATGCATGATTATATTGGTTCATGAACTTGTGATATTAGAAAAGCTTGAGATATTTTGCTATGTTTACATCCAACTCTTAGGCACGCATGGTGTGCTAGGCACTGTGCATAGTCTCAATATGCACCTTATGCCTGACACTTTCTTGAATCTTGATTGTACGAATATGTCATGTGGTGTGTGAGAATATGTCAATTCACATATCAAAACACCTAAAAAAATGTGTCTAATACATATCAAGTTTTTTGTCATTAAATGCGAAAAATAAATTAATGGTATTTTCTTTACAAGATCTTGAAAAACCAATATTTTGAACTTCAAAAATAAAATCAGAAGGATAAAAGTGTGCAACACGTTCTCCCAAGCCAAGAGTCCATGTAAGCGGAATGTCGATTCTAGAAAAGCAATATAAATATGTCGCTTGTTTGTCAACCAACATACTCTTTATCGCCTTTTCAAATATCGACATTGTCTTCCTTCTTCCATGTCACCAAAAACACTACTATATTAGGAAATAGTTGTGAAGTACAACTATTTTGAGAATTTATTTTAATTAGTTTTTTTTTTGAAAAATCTCAATAATATTAATTTGTTATATATTTGTTAAAAGATAATGTCTATTTTTCATCCAAACTTTTTTCAGATTCTTTTATATTATCCAAACCTATTAAAATTCTATTTATTATCCAAATCTTTCATAGTGCATCAAAATATTAGTCAGTTTTACGTTATCGTTAATAATTTTGTAACTCTTTTCTTAGTTAAAATACTAATATTTTGAAATGTTGACCTTAATGAGTCTCTTCCAAGTCAGTATCATGTTGCCAAGTTAATATTACTAACGAAATTGTTAATTGGAAGTTAACATTTGGCTAATTTTTAGTATTTCGATAGGTTTGGATAATATAAAAGATTTTGAAAAAGATTTTGATAAAAAATAGACATTACCCTTTATTAAAAGCAGTTAAACATAAAAAATTTGATGTCGTCATCTAATCGCAGCAAGTATATCACAATCCCTCGTATGTCACAATCTTTCACACTATTATAAGATTTCGTATCATCTTATACTATAATAAAATTGTGAATCACTAACATTTTCAGTTTAGTCTCGATTCCATTCGAGAAACAAAGAATTTATTAATTTAAAAATAAAAACATTTCAATCGGCTCGTACAGCATGGTTTGACCACTGAGCCACATTGCCCTGGGCGGTTTAGGTTGGGCCGTGGTTCGTTGTCCCGTCTAAAAAACAAAAGCAACGTCGGCGAACTGATGAAATCATAATCCCTAATCCATCTCTGTTCACCTTCTTCTCCCAGTCTTCGCGCTCTTCTTCCGATAGCTTCCATCCAGCGAAAATGCAGGTAATAATCCCTTTCCATGGTTTTCTCTTTTCCTCTCTCCCCCCACTTTTTCTCCAAGGAATTTGCGGTTTTCTGCACCACCAATGAACAGTCAAATCGAAGCTCGTCGTCTCGAGTTCTCTGCGGAACTGTAATAATTAGAATTGAAAAGGTGTTTGATTTGACTTGCAATCTTCTTCACTTGCAGGCCAGCGATAGGTTTAACATCAACTCCCAGCTCGAACATCTCCAGGCCAAGTACGTCGGCACCGGCCATGCCGATATGAACAGATTGTGAGTATTTTTGTATCCTATGTTCCCTTCTTGTTCCGATAAGTTTGTGAATTTGCCTCTTTTCCTTTTTGGGTTCTTTGGAATTTTTGCTGATAAAATTTGATGCCTTTTGGTGGGCAGCGAGTGGGCGGTGAACATTCAGCGAGATAGCTATGCTTCTTATGTTGGCCACTACCCAATGCTGGCTTACTTTGCTGTTGCTGAGAACGAATCCATTGGAAGAGAGCGCTACAACTTCATGCAGGTTTGTGCTTGCTCCTTGGTAACTTCTATGGTGGCTGGTTTTTGATGATGAGATTGTTAGCTAGTTGATAAGAATATGAGCTTGGGATGAATTAAGTGTGCCTCTCTGTTAGGGGAGCTGTCATGATGGGTGCAAAATGGATTTTGCATTCGAAGTTAAATGTCGAATAGATGCTTATACCGCAATACCGATTTTTAGTGCTTGAAGGGTTTTAATCCATAGTCTACCTTGCTTTCATTAGGATTCGTTTGATGATGGGTTCCTCTGGATGTTGAACTTGCTTATGATAGATGACCCCTGCGTGTCTTTCTGTTTGATGAATACTTGGTGTTAGTCTCTATTAAGTCATGAGCTTGGCTGTTGTGTAATCATAATCTTCGATTGGTGTTAGCATGTTTTATGTTTGATCATTGCATATAAGAAGGGAGGTAGCAGTTTGCTGTTTTGTATTGCACTGCATCTTTAGTGGAAGCTTTTGCTCCTGCTTCAATCTTACTAGTTGCTATGATGGTGGGCTAAGGCTAATGACTCAATATATCTCCTTTCCTGTCTACTCGCAGAAAATGCTTCTGCCTTGTGGCCTGCCACCTGAAAGAGAAGATGAATGAATCTTGGTTAGATGCCTGGATGGATGATTCCCGACCTCCAAGGTTAAGATCCTGCAGTTCCATCGTATGAGTGCTTGTGTGTATGTTCATGGGAAGAGCAACTGTCCTATGCCAGTAAATCGAAACGTATGACATGTTGGATTCATTCCCGGGTTGTAGAATGTATAAACATGTTATCATAGCATCTTTTCTCAGTATGGCTATATAAAACTGCATTCTGGTTCGGTTTGAGACAGCTTTGCTCTCTTCAGTAATGCTCAATGAAATGTATCCAGTGTTTGAAAGATAACACAAATTGGAAAGTTTTGTGTGTTAATGCTGTTATTCTACCGCTGGTAACGAGTTAGCCCCAAATTCTGAGGTGCAATTAAAATGATTCAAATGTGCTACGTTCTGCATTTCTGATGAAAACTCGAGCAGATTGTGTTCTCCATTCGGAAAGAGTGAATTCTCAAGTAGTGAAACAGAAAGCATTCCATAGAGATACACTACACTGATACACTGGTATCGAGTCGTAAGCCGAATCTAACTAAAGTAGATAAAACTGTGAATACAGGTACTCTCTAATCTTATAGTAATCCTCACACAAGGGACCTTCTATCACAATCTGCTGTATCCCAGAACCACCGCCCTGGAGCAACAAAAATAATGTCTGGTTTAACATCATCGAACAAATTCGTGCCTGAAAAAACATCTTAAGGGTAGAAGGGTTCTCACCTTTTGGCCGGCGACACCAACTTTGCGCAGGGTGACATATTCCCCACATCGCAATGCCCCTCCACCAGCAAATTCCACCTGTAATGTAAGGGTTATGAAAGAGTGTCGATTAAGAAAACGTTGCAGGAGAAGAGAGATAGGCACCTGAACACCTTTGCTAGCAAGGAATTGCTTGAGATCAGCCATTTTGAGATCACCAACAAGAACTGACTTATGTGGGGGAGGTGGTGTTGAAACGGTAGGTAGTAAAGAGAGCATGTCATGATTCTCAGTCTTCCCTGCTACAGCATCGATCCAAGCTACTTCATACTCTCCCAACTGAAATATACATATAGCACATAAATGAGAAGACGCCCACCTTGGCCTCTACTAGCCATTCTTCCTGTTGTGCATATATCTATATTCATGCAAAACTTCGAAACTGGTTGCATGATGGCAGTATCCTACCTTCTTGAAGAGAACATTACTCATAAGCTGTTCTGCGAGTTGCACCTGATTTTACAAGGGGGGCAGGTGAAACAAAACAAAGAAATCCTGGTTACTAATCTCCAGAAAGTTTGCTGATGCACTGTAGGGTACTAAAACATTCAGTGATCACGAGAGATTATTTTTACCTTATAAGCACACAGATCTGAGGTTACATCAACCGTCTCTTCAATTTGTGGAGCATAAACATGAGCGCAGACATGTTTTAAGCAGTGTTGCTTCAGATGCTCGGTAGCCTCAGCTGATCCGTGCACCAACACCTTTATAAGAATAAAGCAATTAAAAGACAAGCTATCTGTCAGTCTTCCTATCCTATCAAAATAAAGCTCATAAACTATCAATAGATATGAGGGATGAATAAAGCAGAATGTAGCAGTGGAAACACATACGACATATCAAACTAGAACATCTCTTACAAGTTTCAGAGGAGCCACACGAGCAATGATTGATTTAATTGAGCGTCCATCAGACCGTCCTTCGAAGTCGATGTATATTAGTGAACACTTAACTTGAACCTGATTGGCAATCAAATATCACAATCCAATACATAGCAAAGAAATACATGCCATACAATTCAAGACCAATAGGATTATTGATATTACTGCATCATCAATCTAACTTCTGCATCACAAATTCCTATCGAATAATCAAGTTCCATAGACAATTATCAACTAAAAGAATGTCAGACCGAAATCATGAATGAACTGTTACCAGAAAACATGGGTGGCCATCGAGTACACACTAGTGAAATTCATTCAATTAAACAATTCTCACAAAAACTAGCAAAACGAGGGTTCAACTTACCGTCAATTCATTCGACACAACTTTTGAAGGCTTTGTATCCAGAATAAAACTAGCAGCAGCTTCATCAAGCTTCCCATCAATGTCTCCACCAACCTGAGATGAGAGATGTACTATTAGAAAGACAGTATCTTTCAAACATGGTTGTACAAAGTAAACCAGGCAGATGTTAATTCCGGGAAATCGAACAATCCATTTGACAATTCTATTGAACGAACCATTAGAAGGCTATTTAGAAATAACAGAAAGCAGTCATAGCACTAATGTAGCAAGTATGATGTTGGTCGTTTGAAATCTTCAGGCTCAATATAAGATACTCTAAGGAGTTCCAACAGAAAAATAAAACGCAGGGGGCTAATATAGTGTTCTAATAAAATGTGAAACCAACATTTGCTCCAGTAGTTCGAAACTTGTATTTAAGGAATTAGCAGGACAACAGATGTTTCAAGAAATGAAAACTTACATGTAAAGCTGTTTGGTTCATGTCTTCGTCTTTAACTACATAATCATCTGGATTAACTACTTCGCCAAAATCATCCCATTCTGTGTTATTTTCATAGAATGGGAACATTGGCGCCACACTGGTGGATGGTGGAACAAATCCATCAAACAGCATGTCCCGATATCCACTTCGATGAGAACCAGCCACTGCAAGATACAATAAGGAAGTATTTAGCAGTAAGTGCACCAAACAGTTGGATAAGTAGAGCATGGGAACCTCAGAAAGATACCATCTGGAGGAGCACTTGAATTGGTTGTATCAATGACCATTGGATCACTTGAAGCATTATCCAGCCCATGAGAAGCTCTTGATTCCTCCTGTTTTAAAAGGCTAGCTTTCAGCTCTTCTTCCTTTTTCAGTCTCTTCTGTTCTTCTTCATAAGCAACTAATTCATCACCAACTAAGGGAACCCTCTTTGACATTGTGACTTTTACAGCCTTTGGAGGTGGATTTGCCTGAAGCATTCGAGCCAACGTGCCAAACTACAATAAAAAGTGAATCATTAACTAACAAGTGCAACTAATCAGCAGTCGGAATAGAGCAGCAAAGACCATCAAAGTTCCTGTCAACGTAGCCAAAACTAAAACTTGTACATATGTAGGATTTATGCATGTCTTCTTATGCCTCCATCTTAAATAAATATCTCCACTCATAAATGTATTTCCTTTTCACATTCCCTACCACCTGGAAGCCAAGAAGCTAAGGATTCAACTCACAAATGCAGGGAAATCAATTAAACGAGTACGTAGAGAACAAAGCTAGGTCCAATTGCGGTACAATAAAGTTGTAAATCACTAGTTATTCCCGAAGCTTCTATGTATCACAATTTCAGTGCAATGAATGAAAGGATAGTTGCATTGCATAAAGACTTCAGACAACTACTATCTTATATGAAGCAGATAATCTCAAGCACGAACAAACCCATCAATCATATGAATTTGACACCAATATCAGGATTCACATGGCCAATTAATCGAGCATGGGGTAAAGATTGATGCATCATTGTGTACTCTACACAGGGGCGCACCTGGCCTCTTTCAGTGAAAAGCACAAGGTTCCTGACATCAGATGCCCATTCAACAAATATATCATGGGAAAATCCAGCCTCCAAGCTTGCCATTGATGCCAGAACAACCTAGATAAGAATGAGAAAGCCAGTAGAAAAGACTTGAGCTGGAGTTCAAACTTTTGCCTCAAACCTAAGGCACAGAATATATGGTGAAGGCGAATATCAAAGGGGAGCAAGGTAAAACGTAAAGGGCAAGCTAGGACAGTTTTTCTTTAACATCTGTAGTCTTCTCCGTTTTCACTTTTTTTCAATTTCTTCTAAGAAAATGGTGACCATCTGTGTGCTACCTTGAGGAGTTACTGGCAGGATTGAAGCATGACGTGTGATTACATTCACAGCCTTTTTCCCTCACACTTATACTGGAAACAACCTCTCATCATACTTCCTTTTATATGGTTTTGCCCATTTAATCACTATGGCAAAACTTTGATTACAATTTGAAGGGAATAGGATATATAACCTTTGGACCAATTGGAGCATTATCCAGATCCATCTTGTTGATTAGAAGTTTCACACGCCTGCGAATTTTCAAGCTCACAATTGTAAGTAGTTATTGCCTCATATATTGAAACACGGGCAATAAAAAAATCCTAGTACTCAGGAAAAGAAACACTTCTGTCCAGTATGAAAAAGATGATCACAAAATAAGAATTACTTACTTCAACTGAAAAGCATTATTACGCGAAGTTTCAAACGATTTTGCAATGGAGTCACCCATCCACTCCAAGAAACTCTTTACATAGTCGATAGTGCTTGATGCAACATATGTAAGAAAGAATATGTCGTATCCTAAATTACGTTGTGCCCAGAACTGCAAAATTAAATAAGCATGATATTCAGAAGGGAAAAATCCCATTAATGTTTAATTGGAAAGGAGTTAAGATACAGTCAACCAATATTAGGAATGCCATTTTCATATCTAACCTCTTCCAGTATGAGAATAAGTTCCAAAGCTCGTCCAGCAGTGTCAACGGGTAGCAATACATTGCCACCTCCTTCTAATGTCCTCACAATTTTCTCTTGATAAACAAGAAGAAAGAAAGAGTTAGCTGAACTGAATCGACTCATCATCAAAATAATGTATAACATTACACTGTACAGACTATGCTTAAGGAGAAAAGGCCATCAGCATTGAAAAGGGACAAATAAGCTTAAATGTTAAGAGTCTTAGCAATAACATAGATCACATAAAATAAGAATGTCGAGTGATAATATACCTAAAAATTCTCTGTCTCTTTGTGCTCTATGAGGTTGATTACTCAAAGCATTATAAGCTTCAGTTATTAGAACAGCAGGACGGACAAAAGACTCTGCAACTATTCCATTCAGATGCCTGATGAACACAGATACCGTAAATATTTTCCTCCCAGAATGTATCACCTCAAGAACAACTAATTTTCAAGAACTACCTACCGTTCTTTGCGATGGTTGAAGTCAACAGCATATACAACATCTTCTCCATCCTTTGTTATCTTCCAAACAGTACCTCCGAGAAGATGACCAGCCACATGAGGTGCAATAACAATCCCTTCCCCCTTGCCTAAAATAGGAGATAGAGTCATTCGGATAAGGAATGGGCTCTTACGTATCACCAGGTATAAGTACACTGTTGGAACACATACCTACCAGAGAGGTGATGATTCTGTGAATAGGTAAGCCTGGTAATTGAAAGGAAAGCAGAATCAACATCATCGAGCGTAAACAGATCAAAGTCCGAAACAGCCTGTAAGAAGGAAATTGAGTACAAGTTAAAGGAATGATACACCCGCAGTAGATAGCAATCAACAACAACCATAATCTACTACTCAAGAAAGCTCCACGAAGAAAGCAGAGATAAATGGTGCCCACGCAGAATTCAACAGTGTGTAAAGAATAATAAATAATCAGGGAGGAATAGAACTACCTTGCGGGATAGATATTGATCATACATAGTGAGCAAGCCTAATCTAAAAACTGGTTCTGTTGAGTAAATTGGAGCTGAGAGTCCAAGATGACTCATGGCATAAGGCAATGCACCCAGGTGAAGTGTATCTGGATATGACAACAAAACTGCATCTATCTTTGACGCTACCCTGATATGCAGCAATAAAGATAACTATAAGAACCAGCGGGAAGCAATTTTATAATATAGGCCCCAAACATTCTTTCAAATGAAAGAGACCACACCTGGAGAGGGGTTCAAGAAGTGCGGGATCAAAGAGATCGTTCCAACCACAATCAACCAAAAAATTGAAGCCGTCAATGGAGACCAAGTAAGATAGTGGGTTCTCATTGTACACTCCACAAAGTGGTGTGACCTGAACAGAAGTTCCCATTTCGTCTTTCCCTTTTCTACTATTAGTGCTACTGCTACCTCTGATGTCGTTCCTGTAAGATCCATTAGTTCAGACGTGAGCTAAGGAACAAGGTTCAAAACTCAATATCCAATTAACATCAAATTTATTCACAAGGCTAATAGCAAAAATGACGACTAAACTCTTAATGCAACTAAATTACACCTTGCAGGGTCACGAACTGAACTTTCCAACAATTCAAAAAAAAAAAAAACACTCAGTTTCTTAGTCACCTAATATTAATGTCCTTGATTAAATGTCATGAATGACCATCAACAGAAGATTGAGACAATGAACTTTCAGGCTCCTCAACCTGTCATGCAGTAGACCTCAACTAAAGTGTCTAGAGTTTCTGTGGAATACTTGAATCTACTGGAATTCAGAAAAGAGAGAAAAGAAGAAAAAAAACTAGTTGAAGATATAGGATTTGACATGTAGGATGGACGAAGAACCTCCAAAACAGTAGACCAGATAAGGTTTGACAGGTAAAGCGCCTCAACTCAGAGTTGACACCTTTTAGAGACACACAATAATAACTATTGCAAAATCTTGAGAATTCCAATCAACTCCAATGTCTAAACCCAAATGAAAGCTTATCTTCCATAGAGAAGCTACAAGCAAAGAAGTGGGTCCTACTACGGTACTACCACTAGAAAACTGAATCATATGTGTTACTCCTACCAGGATACAAACAACAATAAAGTTTAATTACAACTTAAAAGGAGATATTCTCTGAATTGCGACATTCCTAAACTGCCAAGGATCTAAACTATTGGTCTCTTCCAAACCCTTTTTCGCTGAGGATAATCGTAGGAAACCACCATTGCAGAAATTTTGCATTTTCCTTCAAGTCCGAAAGGGGTGTTTCTAACAAGGACAAGCTACCTAAGCCTTGCAGCACCGAGCACACCAGCAACCATAACCCTAAATTCAGCATTAAGAACAGTACCATCTTGTGAGTTGGTATTATGTTCTTGACTATCCATATTCCAATCAACACCTCACACATTTTGTCGAACACTTTGCCAACATCAACGATCGACCTCACTCTGCCCACAGGCATCACAAGCACAGAGCTATACTTTTTTTTTTTTTGTTGAATCACAAAACTATACTACAGCGTACCAGTCAATTTTCGAGAAACAGCCTCTCACTGCAATGACATCCTTTTATTTAATTACCAGAGCTCAAAAGGCACATTCAAGAGCAAGCGTTCAGGTTCGAGAAAATGAAAGCAAGCAAACAAAAGGCTCCAATTCGTGAGGCATTACGCTCAGCCAACTTACAATCAAGATGTATTCAGCATGGAAGCAGCCTCCCGTCACCTGAGTGAGTCAAGCAACCGGCTGAAAACACCCACACCGTCGCCGCCGGAGTTCCGCCGTTGTTTGCCTTTCTGCCGCAGTGCGTCAAGTGAGGAGGGAAATTCAGCCGCGGTTCGACTTGGGCAAATATTTGGGAATTCGTGAGTAGACTTTAGGCCGTTTGTACCCAAATCCGAAAGTGTTTGGGCCTTAAAAGATATAAAATTCATGGCCCGCCAGAGTTTGGGCCTTCAGGGCAAAGCCGACCGATACTTTAATAGGGTTTCGAAAGGTCGTCTTCTTTAGAGCTCTTTCCTCGCAATCTTCAACTCCCAGCGGCGCGAGCTCTGTTTGATAGTGTTGCAAATTCGGCGATTCAATGGTGGGTTCCTCTTTTTGATGACGGCGATGTTTCAAGTTCGTTTGTGATGCGAGATTGATCGTTTTTATTGGTTTATGTGTTTAGGCTCCAAAGAAGGATAAGGCTCCGCCGCCGTCGTCGAAGCCGGCCAAGTCCGGAGGAGGCAAGCAGAAGAAGAAGAAGTGGAGCAAAGGAAAACAAAAGGAGAAGGTCAACAACATGGTTCTGTTCGACCAGGGTACTTACGACAAGCTGATCTCTGAAGCTCCCAAGTACAAGCTAATCACTCCTTCCATCCTCTCTGATCGTCTCAGGGTAAACAACCTCTTATTTACGCCTTCGAACAGCCTTTTGGATATCGAAATGCGTTGTTTAGATGTGTGTTAACTGTAGGGTTCTTCGAATTGTGGTGATCTGATAATCCAGAGTAGAGGTTTTGTCTGATTCAGTGTATTCCTATTCCAGCTGACTTGAATTTATACCCTTTTCATTAGGTTTGAAGTGTATGCAGTCTTTAGTCCATATAGCTGTCACTGGAATGCATGGATCGTTTGGATTGGTGCAAATGCACTAAATGTTTGCATACTCGGACATATTGAAATGAAACGAGACATTTTGCTACAATGATTCGTTTCACCTCCTTCATTTCATACGATTAGTTGCTCTCCCATGAGATGAGCACTGTACACTCCTGAGCGTACATAACCTATATGCTACACTCCTAGATCTGGAGATGGTTTTTGCTCAGCTTGAACTTTTTACTCAATCCCGGCGCGGGTTCCTTTTCACCTCTCCATTAGTCCATCTGATGATTTGTACAAGCTGGGGTGGCTGGCCGCCCGTCGTGGATTGGTCAAGGTTCCTTGGTGGTACATAGTTGTTGTTCTCTGTAGGTTAGCTAATGCATATCATTCTGGTAGTAACTAGGCAGGAGAGCCTTCAGTTTTTATCTGATTCTCTACAGCCTGCAGTAGAAGAACCTTTTTTCTCTTGTGGTTGAATCTTGTTGTATAATTTGATTGCTTGGACATCGCTTAAATAAGCTCTGTTGTAATTTGTTGATGTAATTTCAATAGGTGAATGGATCGTTGGCGAGGAAGGCGATTAGGGAACTGATGGCAAAAGGTTTGATCAGGATGGTCTCTGCTCATTCAAGCCAGCAGATCTATACCCGAGCAACAAACACTTGAATCTAGTTTACTCCCCATTTTCATCTAAGATTCCGTTAAGTAGAGAATTTTTGTTCACTTTTGGCTTCAATGTGGCACTGTCTATTTAATCTTGTTGCTCTTAGGCAGTGCTGTTTTTGAAGTGTATGAACTATAAAGTCAAACTATGAACAAGATAGTTTTGTTTTCCGATTAAGCAGAATTCCGGTGCGATCCGGCGTAACACCACATCATATATAAATTACATAATGAATAATGGATTATATAAAAAGGTTCCCGCCAGCAACAAATCTGTTTGTCAGGGAGAACAAAATCAGTGGACTGTTGAATTCGCATAATAATATCACAGGGAGGGTGATGATAAGAAATTATGAAACTAGGCAATTGAGAAGCTAGGATCTAAGTAGAGATATTATTCGGGTTCTGGGTGTACTTACGTAGGTGGGAGATAATCAGAATCTTCTGTTCACATGATTCATTCATAACTCTGTTCCAAACTTTAACAGATACATACTTAGCAATCTAACTTTAACTACAAGCTACCAGTTGGCGAAGAAATGTCAATAAGAGATGGTTCAAATCTCTCGATATTTGAGGGGTGAGATAGCATGACTATCCTTTAGTTTGGAAAAATGACACCCTTATTAATTATAGGCTTTTAAAGTAATAAATTTGTGTTGCATTTAATAATCTGTCTAAATTAAAAACTCATATTAATTACTTTTCCTTTTTCAGTGCAATGGTAGCTCTATCCATGGTTCGAAAAAGCATGCTTAACCTTGCGCTTAGGCACGCCTAGGCGCAAGGCAATGACAAATCGCCTCGCCTAGGGGTTTCGCGCCTAATTAGATACGCGAACATGTCAATGGAGTGAGGCGACATATAAGTCTCTTCTAACCATTAATAGATGGAGCTAGGAAGTCAATATTAATGAAGAAAATCAACTTCAACTACGAAATCAATTTTCTATATCAATATTTTCTATAGCTCAAGAACTTTGCGAGCTATTGAGTTATGATTCTATGAATTCATGAGTTATATTCTTGTCATTAAGTGTTGAGTAAGTTATTAATCATTTTAACTGAAGTGAGGAAGTGTTGTGTTGTATATTATTATTTAATTCACCATGCAGTGTAAAGAACTATTTTTCTTCCAACGCCTAGGCACGCTTAGTCTACGCCTAGGCGAGCTAGGCGCTAGGCAAAGCCTCAACGCCCGTCTTACGCCTAGCGCCTTTTTTAACCTAGGTTCTATCAGTGCAATGGTATCAGAGTGTAATAGTATCAGTGTACGAGTGCAATGATATTTGTATCAGTGCAATGGTATCAGGTAAGGGTGCAATGGTAGTTGTATCAGTGCAATGATAGTTAAAAAAAGGAACGTAAATAATATAAGTTTTTATTTCTAAAACAATATTAAATGCAACACGAATTTAATACAAAATATAACTATAATTAATAAGAGTGTCATTTTTCCAATCCTTAAGGGTTTGTCAAGCTAACCGACCCCATATTTTTAGCTCTCTCCTGTAGAATTTTTTGTTCCGGCACGGTATATAAACTATAAAGACATATTTGGTAAAGTAATTCAAATGTCATCCCAAGGTCAAGTAAAAAACAATTCCATCGAAAGATATGTAATTCTTACAAACAGTGGCGGAACTACGTGTAATTCTTAAGGGGTTACAACCCCACTCAATGTTTTTATCAAAGATTATAATATGTGTATTCATCCATTGAGAAATATTAACAACGAATAGGATGAGAGCTATTTGCCCCCTTCCTCCAAAAAAATTTCAATCGTGAGAAACTGTTTAAGCGTAATATTTTCAATTCCTCCTAACTATAAATCCTGACTTCTCCACTTCCTACAGACGACATGGTAGTTTGTTGAGGCTTGAGATGTAGCTTCATGATTACTATGTTTTTATGATCCACTTGAATTGCTTTGTATTCTTTTAATTTATCGAGCTCATTAAGCATAAACAAAATTGAAAATCGAAATGAATAACATGGCAAGATTTATATGATATATCCAATTAAAGATTGAAATTAGTTCATAGAAGAGACATAATTCTCTGACTATAAATATGTTATTCAAGCTATCTGGTTACACAATGCAATGTATATGAAATTAAACAAATCTACATACATACCACGGTCCACGTATATTCGTTCCCATAGCATCAAGAATTCAAGATGTAGAAAACGCGTAGTCATGTAGAGTTGAACCCATATTATTCATGTAGAGTTGTAGACTATTTTTCTTCCCAAGCTACTTAGTTATTTTCAATATTTGCTACCATTTCAAAATAGATGTGAATTACTACAACTATAAATATCTAGATGAGTCAACAGCGGGTAGGGGAAGACAATATTGCCTCATTCCCAGCTGTTAATATAACATGCACAGTAAGATAGTTACAGTGACGTAGCCAGGATTCGAGTTTAATGGGGTTCCATTCAAAGAAAAAATCTTATAACATTGTATTTAATTATTATGAAGTAAATTTTTTAAAAATATTCGGTCAAGTAGTCATTCGTCAAACCATTAGTTATTAGATTCGTACCTTACATTTTATGTAACTCATAATTGAAAAGTGACATTTCAATAACTAGCTAAAACACATAGTTCCCAAGCAAAATCTAATACACAAACGTTTTATAAAACACATTTGATGAAAAAGAAATTGTATATTGATAGAAAAATTTGTTGAGCTAAGAGCTTTTTAGATATAGCTTGAGGTTATTGTACACATATTTAGTAGAATTAGAAATTTTTAGAAAAAGACTATAATATTGGGGGATTTTCAATGATATATAACCAATATAGTCTAATTTATTTGTGTATTTCATAATATTAGGACAATTAAATTTCATATATGAATGGAGTCCTTAATTCTAAATCTACCCAAATTAAACAAGTATGTAAATACATTTAGGGGTCGTTTGGATGGATCATTCTCAAAATGAGATAATTTGGATCAAAAGACTCATTTTTGAAAATGAGTCTATCTTATGAAGAAATTTGTCTAGAATGTACCGTTTGGCATGGCTTGAGAGATGAGAAATATGGGTGGGCATTTTAGGGAAATTGCCAATTTTTCATTTTCTTATGCAAGTTTTTCTATCTTTTCTGGGTTTCTTTCTATTGAGTCCATCATCTAAAAAAGTATACACAGATACAACAACTTAAACGCCAAAAAACATGGATGGGCCATTTTGAAAATCGATTTCGTATTCTCATTCTCCTATAACCCTACATGCAACGAATTACAAGCCAAAAAACAATCCAAACCCCTCATGCAACGAAATTTATTTCTTCTATGCTGGAAAGAGAAGCTTCGTCGCGGGGAAAGAGAAGCTTGATTTTTTTTTTTATACTGAGAGAAGCTTGATTTCTTCTTCTGCCTCCGAACATCTCTTCCCTTATCACAAGCCTGAAGCAGAGCGATCGCCGACGACAACTCCCGGATTCCCCTAGCACATCATCCGCGAGAGAGAAGAGCAAATCTTCCCTCTGTTCGCCGAGCAGATCGGCATATTTTGAGAAGCTAGGTCGTGAGGAAAGAGAAGCTTGATTTCTTCTTCTACCCAGGACATCTCTTCCCTCATCGCAAGACTGAAGCAGACCAATCGCCGACGAAAACTCTCAGATTCCTCCAGCAGATCATCTGCGAGAGGGTAGAACAAATCTTCCCTCTGTTCGCCGAGTAGATCGGCGCCTGAGAGAAGAAAGAGAATGAGAGATAGAGAATAGTTTAGAGGAAAGAGAAGGAGAAAGCGAATGGTGGGTCACTGGGTCTCGACATAAGGAAAAGGAAAAAATTATAATTGGAAGAGGCCACAATAAACGCGTCATTTTAGAATTCCTACCCCTAACCCAGGTAATTCTAATTGAACCCTATCGGACCAATTGAAATTCCCCCAACACAAAATGTCTCGTTTTCATTTTATGTTGCCAAATGAGGCAATTTGGTCCAATTGTCTCGTTTTGAGTCAATTGAGCCAAATTGCCTCATCTAAAAGATCCATCCAAACGACCCCTTAACCATTTTAATTTATCCAAGTACCCCACCCCTCCGCCACTGCGTAGTTATACACGAGAAATTATTAAACCGGAGTGTATGCTCAAAGTAGCTAATAATTCCTCGTTATACTATTCAGTTTTCAATAAATTTCTCCTCAAAATTTAGGAGTATACCATACTACAACTCATGGTTCCACACCATGGAGAAGATATGGTTATTAGTTTCAAATCCACCATCAATTCAACTCCCCAATAAGCTGATGGATGGTAATTAAGATAAACACCGGATTAAATGCCGACAATCTTACCTAACCTACTACTCCTACTACTGACTCACAATCACTAACAATCACAAAACTATAAATCTATAATATCATCATCGGGCTCTTCCTGTGAACCAAGATTTACCCCCGGATTTGCCCCGCCCCCAAAGAAATATCACAAATACGCCAACTAGGCCAACAGGTTGCCAGCCCAGGCCCAGCAGCCCACTTGCCAACATGGCTGCTGCCTGTATCTGTAGGCAACCTTCCTAACAATATTAAATTATTATTCCCATTGGCCACGCCCCCAAGTTAAAGATAAATATCGGCTTTTATGCCTTTTATGTTTTATCTTTCCTTTCTCTCTCATACGTGGAAATTAAGGTTAGGCCAAAAGAAGAGAGAGAAGAGGTAGTAAAGGTACCTTCCTTCCCTTCCTGTGTGTGAACATGTCCTCCCATCAGACCATCGCAGCAGTCTTATTATTAGCACACATTTTATTTAGTTCCACTATCTACTTTTTATATATATTCCAACGTGATTATGGTCATGATCAAGATCAAGATCAACACCCAATCCATCTTTGTTCCCTTTTGTTTATCTCAACATGGACCAACACTAGGTTTTTTCCACACTAAAATCTTTTTTCCTAGGCACTCTTCATCTCTCCATCCGAAAGAAAACAACGGATAAGTTATTTAAATGTCTTATTTTGAGATGACATTGTGCAGTTTCAGATTTAATCGTACAGTTTTACTGTTATGCATATTGATCTTTATGATAATATATCTGTTAATCAAATCATTTGCTGAATATTTTTGAAATAATCATTGATTTAGACGAATACACGAGAGATCAATAATAGAAAATGTAAAATGAGAAAAATGATAGTGAAATATATTCCGATATTATTTTGCAATTAAGAGTTAAAAAAGACCTAATTTTTCCAGCTATCTTTAGCTTCTTTCTTTTTGTCTTGTAATATACAAATTATGATGGTCTTTTTTTTCTCCCTTTTGTGCAACTTGCTTGTGCACAAGCACACCCCTACCCACCTTCCTCTTTCTCCTATCTCCACATCATCATAAGATTCTAAAATCTACAACTAAAAGAAAAAGAAACAAAAGGAGAAAGGGAAATTACAAAGAACAAAATTACCCACAAGGAGGAAAGAAAAGGGAAACTAAAAAAAAGTGAAAAGATTGGAACTTTGCATTGTGATGATGATGATGGAATGCTACAAAGCTCCAATAATCCTCTGTTTTTTACTGCATTCAAACGCCACCATCTCCATCTCCCTCACCGACCTCTTCCCATTACACCCACCACCACCGTCACCGCTGCTCCCGGGGAGTTTAAATATGTTCACCCCGAACAGCCGGACCATGTGAACCGGTTGGACCACCGAGCAAACCGCCTGGTTCGGCCCAACCCTGGGCCTCCAGTCGATATACAGCTGCCGCTCCTCCTCGCCGGCGGCGGCTGCGGATCTCTGGAAGCTGACAATGTCGCCGGCTTTCAATCCCTTCTCCTTCACGAACCGGCTCCACCCTTTCGTCAGCACGTAGCTCTGGCTGCTGTTCCAGTACGAGTACCTGAACCGCCACACTTTCCCCGCCGCGTCCTCGAAGTTCAGCAGCACGCCTTTCGTCGTGCTGCTGCTATTATTCCCACCGCTCTGCAGTGGGAAATGCTTCTCGGCGTGCTGTTTCGGGATCACGAGCCGGTTCAATTTCCCGACGTCGCTCGGGGTAACCGCTTTTTCGAACAGCGGCTCACGGTTCGACCGGTCGAACCGGTCCGACCCGGCATTCGGATTGAACCGGGCGATGCTCTGTTTCATCCCCTGCCCTTTCCGGCGGCTCTGCTCCAGCTCGTCGTCGTAGGTGTGCTTCCGCAGCATGTCGACGATCTCGGCCTTGGAATGGGAGTTGAGGAAATTGGACTCCAGCTCGATGCCGTCGTCGTCCGGTTCGCCGCCGGAGGCCGGCGGAGGAGGCGAATTAGGAGGGGGCTTGAAATTGGTGACGGCGTCGCGGCCGCGGAAGCGTCGGGCGGCGATGTCGTAGGCGCGTGCGGCGTCGTCCTCGCGGTTGAAGGTGCCGAGCCAGACGCGCTGGTGCTTCTCGTAAATCTGGGCACCCCACCGGCCGTTGGGCTGGGGGACGACGCCTTTGTATTTCGAGGAAGGGAGCTTGCGGGACTCTGCTTCGATGCCGGATTCAGGGTCGAGGACGACGCTGCTGCTGGCGCCGCTGCCGACGCGGCAGAGGGATGACTTGGCGGGGAAAGGGAGGAGGGCGGGCGGCGGCGGCGGCGGTAGTGGGGAGATGCAGTGATTGGAGTCGGTGCTGGTGGTGCTGTTGTCGTCGGTGGAGGAGGAACTGATTCCGTCCATTTTGGTTGTGTTGGGAAGTTTGAATTTCTAGAGAGAGAAAGAGAGGGAGTTGACTGCAGAGAGGGAGAGAGGGGAATGAGATGAGAGTGTTTGGGAGGGTGGAAATTGGACGTGCTGTATATATAGGGAAGAATTTGTGGAACATAATTTTTTTTTTTTTTTTTTGGGTTATGGTTTGAGTTGTTTATTTGGTATAAATTAAACGAGTTAGGATGGACTATTTGCTTTTGGGGGTTTGTTTATTTTGTTAATAATGTTGTGGAGTGGATTGTAGTGAGAAAGGAAAGATATGTTGGGAGAGGGGAGTTTGGAGTAGAAAGGGGGTTGGTTATTGGTTAAGGATGCAAATAGAGGGGGGGAGAGGGTGGGTGGGTCAACCCTAACTCCCAACTCAAGTAGTCATCCACTAAAAATTCAAAGACAAAATGGAGAAATAATAATAATTAGAGGGCATATGAAAACTAGATATCTTTTAGAAGGAAAAAAAAAATGTTGGGAACATGGCTGAAAAGTACAATAAGCTAAACAAGTATCTCAATCTGTTTGCACCCGATCGTGTTGTGGTGATCAAAGAATGCGTCTTTACGCTTACACGCTTGGTAATTTGTAATAATAAAATTCACTCCTTGATAAACAAGTGATTAAAACCGACCCCTTACTGAATTTTAACGAGAGGATTTTGTCAAACAATTGGTGATGCAGATCAGATTGTGGATGTGTGTAGCGGTCTTTGATGAATAAGTCAAACCGGAACCTCTAGCTGAATATGCTTGTACAATTGCTCATTTGTACATTGTTTTCGAGATTGGGCCCGAAAGAATGCCACCATGTGTTAATTATCAACGTGACAGTGTCCAGTGGATAGAACCTTCTACCAGATCTACAGTCGTTCTCTTTGACTGTTATGGTCATGTACTTTAGAGACCTGATCAGCGTCGTCTCGGGTATAAATGTCGGTAAAAGAGAAACTAAAATATTATTAAATGAAAATCAGTCGACCAAAAACTCTTGCCACATGTAAAGAGGTTTAATTTTCTTTCTTTTGGGCAATTTTTTTGGGTTTGACATTTGTTTTTGCCAAGTATGGTTAGAGAGTCTCATCCTAACTCTCTTTGATTCTTATGTGTTATGTCTTTTTGTCAAGTTGGATGGGGATGGGGGGATGGATGGAGATAAGAGATATGGAGGAGGTGATGGGGATGGCCATGGGATGGCATTTGGCAAGTGGCAACTACTAACAACAAGGAAGAAAGGAATGAATTTAGAGGGAGAGAGTGTACTTGATGAGAATAGTAGTGGTGAGTAGTGAAATGTAATTATGCCATATTGTGGACCTACAGAACTCAGAACTACATATCTGATAATTATCTCCCATGTTTGATGGGGTTCACATGAGTCGTGGGCAGACCGTGTATTTAAGTTAGCCCAGGTTCATCCCCTTATTTAGTTCACTTGCCCTTCATCTCCTCCACCACCATCATCATCATGATTCCCGCTGCTGTTTCTCTTCTTCTTCTTTGCTAGACTGCCAGTAGCCTCTGCCTGAGAAACCAGTATGGTCTCCTTCCTTCTCAGTCATCAACTTAAGTCCCACTACGAAAAATTTAATCTTCTCCATACCATCCCCAATCTTTTCCACATCTACATGCACCTCCATGTCTTTGTTAGTTCGTAAGGTTGGTGGGTGATGTCAAGGTCCTCACAATTTTAGGTGCATGAAACTGCTGCTATACCCATTGTCAATGCACATGTTAAGATATAAGTTTCTGCGGTAAAATGATTGATCAGCCTCTTTTGCATCGAGTAAAACAAAATATTAAATGATTATTTGGTGCTATACATTAAAATCAAAAATATCGATCGTCACGACAACTAATGTAGTTTTAGAAAACATGAAAATTGGAAAAACATAAACTTGTTTAGTTGATAATTCTGAAAAAAAATCAGGCAAGTTAAACAAGTAGAAACAAAAATGTGTTTAGTTACTTCTTTAGAACTCGTTTAGTACCAATGTTGAGACTAAGAAAAAAGTAGTAAATAATGAGAGAAATACTGTGACATGACGAGTTGTAAGAAAATTGAGGAAGAAAAGGATATGAAAAATAATATTGACAATAAGATTTTGATGACGAGTTGTGCAAATATGAAGAGGAGAAAATGTATGTAAAAAGTTTTTTTTGTAAAAAAAATTGACTTGGTCTTAGACTCCCTTGAATAATATTATTATTCCAACAACTAATACGATTCAACAAGAAATAATTTTTGGAAACGTCTAAGGAAGCTACTCAAAGTGGTTTCACAACTAAATTTTGTTGCGTTGTCAAGTCTTATTGCCACAATATATACCATATGAAAACAAAACTAAATGTAACACCTTAGACAAATCCCACATCGACAAAGCACGGGAGAGATCCATGGTTCATAAGTAAGAAACTGACCTTAACTGACAAGACGCGTTTTGGGGTGAAATAGAGGAGTTCTTGTGAGAACTCCGAAGTTAAACATGTTCAGTGTGGAGTACAACAAGGATGGGTGACTTTATGGGAAATCACCTTGAATTGCACCCCAAGTCGAAAACCGTGAGGGTCGAGGCCCAAAGAAGAAAAAAACTTTAATGATAATAAAGAGGATAAGGTAAGGACTAGAAATATCTGTTAGTTTAAGATGCTTTACAACGTGGAATCATAGTGTGGAATAGTTCGTACTCTTCATGTCGACATACCACAAAGCCTCGGTTAAGACGTGGTCAATCAAGCTAAGCACATTATTATTTCGTATTTTCACAGTAAGTACGCCAATTCCATCCTTTCTTTCCCTGTTTCCCCACTGCACAGCTGAACACAAAAACAAACCACTTATATATTATAGAAAATCTGCTGGATTATCATTATTTGTTAGATGTTAAATGCTTAAAATTAGGCTTCATTAATCAATACAGAAACCCACCATTTATAGAGAAAATCAGCTGCTATGCTAGCCATAGAATTTGATGGGTTCGAATGAGAAAGCTTTGGCTCCTTCCCTTTATTTATCATTAACTTGGTTTCTGTTGTGTTCTGTTCTGTTCCTTCCCACTAGAATGGGAAGTGGGCCTGAAAAAGATTAGATAGAAAGGAAGAAATTTTGCCTTAGCAGCATCAGCGTGGAAAATTGGCAGATGGATAAACATGAAAAAGATAATATGCATGGGTTTGGACTTTGGACTTTTGACATGCGCATGGGAGAAAAGAAATTCCCATAAGAGCAGTAAACAGAGAAAGCGAAAGAGAGGGATATATGGTATCTGAAACAAGCATGGTGAGGTCAGGGAGGTTAAATAATAATTTATTTATTTCACTTCGGTTTGGTGTAATCTGATAACATGTTGGATGTGCTTCGAATAATTATAATTGTTGATTATTGTTTTGTAGTAATAATTAATCTTACAATTCAGAAACTAGAGATATATGGTTCAATGTTATTGAGATTTAGTACTAACACCACTTTATAAATAATAAATATGTTATATCCGAAATTTCACTCAGATAGAAAAAATGGCTACATTTCTTTGGTCCTTTTACTCAATTTGGTAACCTTTTGGAGGGTGTCGGTCTGTCTTATTGGCTAGGTTCACCTCAGTATCTATCTGCCTATCTGATTCTCTGCTCCCATGATAAATATCCCCCATCATCCCCACTTGCTGCAAACATATATTATCCGACAAATAATAATATAATATAAACCAAAATTAAATAAATTGGCTTCCTCGGTTAGAAGTATGGGTACTAAAATGTAATTATACTAATCTTGGAGTAGTGGGCTTGGGGTTTTGGGTGTTAGGGTTCGGCTGATTGGACCTGGCAAGCGGGTCGGGTTGGGTAATTTCGGGTTGGGGACTTCGGTTACGGGTCGGGTCATGTTTGGTTGGCTGATTTCGGGTCAAATATTGACCCAACCCATTCGGTTTCGGATCGGGTTACAGGTCATTTCGGGTTATGAGCGTTCTCAGAAACAATATCAAACATGTTTCATATTTTCTTACAGAACACAAATTTTCACATATGCATGACAATAGTTTACCTAACACATGTCAATTAACATATTCTCAAATCCTCCCATGTTAATGAAATGAAATACAAATTGCGCAAATCGTCATAAAACAATCACAAGAGTAATACTACTACAAGAAACACATGATATTTGATTATCCTTAAACTCCAAAACATGTCATTCAAATCCTTGTCATTTTTTTTAAACATCTCACCAATTTATGAGTGATTTTATCATTTTGGGAGTGATATATAAAATGGAACGGGTCTAACGGGTTGACCTGCTAACCTTGCCAGGTCTACGGCTGATATATATTTGTAGCATAGCATATCTCTGTGTGTATTGAAGTACGTGGAAATAATAACGATATCTGTCGTTGTGTTGTGGACTAGTATCAACGATCATCATTGAAGAAATCATGTAACTATTTGTGTATTGTGTCTTGGTAAGATTGTGTTTGTGTGATATTTGACATGGTATCAGAGCATTCTATGACCGAAAGGTCTTGTGTTCGCATCCTGGTTATCCTATTTGTTAATCACATGGTATTCTCGTATTTAGGACCTGTACACAACGAAAGTCTTTATCAATTGACTGGCTTTCGTTTGAGTAAGTGTGCTAGTGAGTAATATAAAATCCACACCTGAACCTCTACCAACAACTCAAGATATTGAGATCAACTGATTTTTTAAATCATTATCCATTTCTTTTTTCTTCCTTCCTTAAAAATCAACATCCATCCCATTATTTAGCTAGCTGCCCAACCAAAAACTGACATCTTTGTGTACCTTGCTTCCATCCAAGTGTAACAAGTTGGTTGGTTGAACCAAATTATGGCTCAGCCAAATTGTTCATGCACTTTCCTACAACTTTGAATTCAGTTCTTACACCCACCACAACCCTCCATGTTTTGCTCTGGCCCATCCCATACATTGGAAACAATAGTATAGTTTTTTTTTTCATAGAAAAGAGTCACCCCCATTATCTGACAATATAATGTTAATGGAATATGAAATTTTGATAGTGTCATACAAAATTCAATAACGAACATCAAAAGCAATCTTAGGAATATAGTGAAAATCAAAGGAAATGGATAAACTTGTGATAGTCAAGTAATTCACTGAAAACTTTACCTCTTTATGGGAAATCCTAACAAATCAATCTTGTTGGAGGATGCTGCGAAACTAAAGCACAAGGCTAGCAATTGCTTATGTGATGGTTCCTCCGACGTTATCATAAGTTTTAATACGGCCATGGAGTCGAGCTGGAGGGTCATTATATGATATCCAAGTTGGCAGGCGAGTTGGAGATCCTCAATAGGGCTGGCTATTTGGACCGGGACCGGATGAAAAACCGGAAATCGGACCGTATAACCCGGATCGAAACCGGACCGGGACCGGATAGTAAACAATCCAATCCAATATTTGGGCTTAGATTTGAGGTAAGAAACCGGATAAAGACCGGATAAGAGAGCTCAACACCCAAAACTTAAGGGTAATTTGCATAAACGGTCACAAATCTTTGCACTTAGTACAAAACTTAACCAACCCCTCACCCTTTTAGGCCTTATGCCACTCAAATTCCCACAATCTCAATATAAAATCAAGACCGAATTGGAACCGGATCGGGTCAAGACCGGACCGGATCAAGACCGGACTGTATCCAATCCAATCTTCGGTCCTTATATTTTCAAAAAAATCGGACTGGACCGGATCAATTTGGGCCAATTTAACCGGACCGGACCGTATAGCCACCCCTAATCCTCAATGTCATCTTGAAGCATTCTGTGGGTGATAGTACAACACCCTCGATTGATGGAGTAAGCTCTTAGTAAGTGATCATGTATATCTCTGACGACACCCTCGGTTATTGCCTTTCGGGTGGATGGAATAAAGAAACAATCCGTTTCAACTGTGATCCAATCCTACGATCCAGGATCCCACCTAGCGAATGTACCACCGATCCTTGGCTAAGTTGTCGGGTCACCATTTCGGAATCACCTTCCACGATAAGTCGAGGCAGACTTCTTAAGACCGCATGTGAAACGGCATCTCCAGCAGCAAGCAACTCTACGAGGTAAGGATTAGACAAACCTGGGTGTCGGGACCCCAAGGCCAGCAGAACATTGCCCTATCCGCACCACGCATGAGAAGGCCAGACGAACAATAAGATTCTTGGCGGACACCAGCATCAAATTAAAGTTGATCTTCAGAAAATATCGAGGCGGACATTCGCAGACCATTAACTTCTAAGGCGAGGGAATGTATTGAGGAGTGTTGGAGGACTCCAAAGGCAGAGGTCCAAAGGATGCCCTTAATCATGTGACTACAAAGGTCCAAAGGCAATGCTCACAACACTATCCAATCTCAAAGACAAAGTATGGGTAAGAATAGGATATGAAAGATCAGAATTGTGCCCCATACAATTATCAAGATGGGACTCTTCTTCTGAGAGGGGAAACAAACAACCAACATGGAACGCTTGTCCTTGTTGAGTTCTTAGTTTATGTTAGGTTAGGTAATAGGTATCCAATTATTTGTTTTTTTTTAGGTTATGTTGAGATTTGTTTCCCTTAAATTTAATGACGGAGAAGAAAAAGGGGGGCTGAATGTGTACGGAAGTGTCCTGGTTAACGGCCGGAGGGGAATGGGTCCCAATTCCACCGAACCAAATCGGTCAAGTTGATGGATCAAAACCACGCGCTAATCCATCGAATCCTTGGCTTTGGTTGGCTCCTTTCCAATTACCGGTCTTCCCACGGTCGCCGGTTTTCTTCCGCCGGAAAATGACAATAGATGAGGCACATGAAAAGTAGACAAGATTTCGTCTTTTGGGAATATGACAAATAATTAAGTTTATCAACATTGATCATCATCATCATCATCAATGATGCCTATCAAGAAGAACTTTGGACTCTCTTTCCGAATCATCTCGTCCATCTCCTTCTATTTTCCTTCTTCAATGAATTATTATTACTATAATTTCTACGAGATTAAGGTATTGGGATTAATCAATGTTATCTTCTTTGTGGCACTGTATATCACCATCATTCCACAAAACACCCTATCAAACCAATTAAGTGATCTAATGTAAGTATGTAACCTCCCAATTTCTCGCACACTTTTGTTTTTGGGGTGAATGATGATTTATCGAGAGGTCATACCATATGTGCGTTGCTTCAATTTGAACACGTTTAATTAATTTCCAGAGTTTCTTACAATACCTCCTTCATTCCATCCCAACAAAGTTGAATTCTTTCGAATGAATCATGAATCTCTTACGTACTTTTTCTATATGAAATTTGCATGACGCGTTACATCTCATTAGGGGGAAAAGAAAAGGTCTCACTAAAAATAATCTTAATCTATCACAAAGCAACCTTTTGGTTTATTAATCAGAACATCAACTATATTCCCATTTTTCCTTAAGAAAGAACAACTTATTCCCGCAATAGAGATATATACATTACCTTCAGCTAATACTTTTCTTACTTCCATCCGTAGTCAATGATTTTATCTATTATTTCCTCTTTTTTCAGTCGAGTATATTGCTCTAACATCATTGGGTTATAATCCTTCCCAACAATGGATTAATTTGGTTGGCTTTCAGTGGTTGAGATGATCTAGTAACAGATAACTCAGGCTCCATATACAATTAAGAAAATAGTGATTACCACTAATTAAAATATATATGTCACTACCCGTCGCTGATCACACTCGATTGCTAAAAGACGCCCTTAATTAGGCCGCCTGATCTTAGAGTAGCCAAACGAATTCAGTCACGAGGGCGGCTGGATTTCGAATTTAGAGCATCTGCATGTATATGTCAGTACCCAAAAAAAAAATCCCTAGTATTCTCCTAAAAGCAAAAGCAAGTGACTAATGACTATCTATCATGCGCTAGATTTTGATTATCCCTCGTCAAAACCCACTTATACTTAATTTCGGTTGTTGTTTGAGACATCTTTTTTTTATCTATGATGTCTCTCCTATTGTGGTGATGCGCAGGTGATCATACAAATGATAAATCGCAAGGACTCGTCTACGCAATTGTTGGCAGCTTTCTTTCTGAAGTTCAGGTCCTTTGAGCCTCCATTAAGCTTCATCGTTCCACTTCACCCAGCGTAAGTATAATAGGGTTGCCCATCTCGTGGCGAAACAAACCCTCTCATCGTTGGCTTGTCGGTTGGTCGACCAACGGCTCTTCCTTAATTCCCTCTTAGAATATCTTTGGCAAAAAAAAAAAAGTTGACTGCAATTCGATACACAATTATACCATCGTCTATTTTTTTTTTTTGCCAAAGATATTCCGGAAGGAATAGCAAGATACGAGTATATACTAGACCCAGAAAGGTCAGGACAAAGAAAAAAGTGCAAAACGATGGTCAACCAGTAGTCGAACCATCGATGAAAGGGCCGTTCTTGCCACGGTATGGGCAGCCCTGTTATACCTACGAGGAGCAAAATGAAACGACGCACGCGCGAGAGATGTTCGCAGCACCTGAACCTCTTTCAGAATGGCACCCCCCCAAAGCGTGAGACGAGTCATTTGCCGAGACCATCCGGATCACGACCTGCGCATCACCACAAAATAATACATTAGTTATGGAATGTGAGAGACACCAACGCATGGCGTCACGAAGCGCCATTAACTCCATGATGAAAGGGTCAGAAGTTTCTGCATAGAAACGACCATAGGCAAAGGAAATAGCTCGTTGGTTGGAGAAGCCTACAAATCCAATTGCACCACCTAATGAGTCCTTTGTGGCACCGTCAAAATGGACTAGCATGAATCTTGTAGGAATTGATGGTGGCACTGAACTGTGGTTCGGAGGCAAGATTGGTTGGTTAAAGCGGCGCCGCACGGAACCCGATTCCTGAACTGAGATCCATTCAGCAACTTGGCTATTAAATTGTCTCAGTAGAGTAGTGGGAAGAAACTGAATAGAATCATAGGAGGAAGAGCACCGCCCTTTCCAAATCCTCCAGTATAGAAACACTATTCTTGTAAGATCATTGCGACCAAGTCCTGCATCCAAAAGCAAATACCTCCAACCAATAGCAACGTGGAATGAGTTTAGAATTAGAAGTAAGTGGTCATAACCTGTTAATTCCCACAAAGCTGTGGCTACTCTACACTCCAAAAAACAATGGGATAATGATTCTGAAGGGTTAGGACAAACTGGACACAAAAGCGCATCAACATCATCTTCCTCTAATATTTCTTTATCCCGCAACACATCTCTAACAGGAAGGAAACCCTTGATCAAACGCCAGATGAAAAATCTTAGTTTAGGGGGAACCTGAAGCGCCCAAAGGGCTTTCCAGGCTGGAGAATCAAAGATAACTGGAATTGTAGAGAGGTTCTGAATAAACTCAGAAGCTGCAATGTGGTACCCGGATTTAACAGAATATTCTCCCGAAGCCTCATAATGCCAGACGAGCTTGTCAGCCATGGGGAGTTGGGGAAGGGGGATACTGAAAATTACCTTAATGGTAGCCGCATCAAACAGGTTCTGTAGAAGATCCACTTTCCAGGTCCCACTTGAATGGTCTATGAGAGACGAGACTTGAGATGATTGCAAGGCAGCATGGGGTAACAGCTTGGGGCTAGAAGGAGGTGTTGTAGGTAGCCATATATCGTCAAGAATATGGACTTGAGTACCAGAACCAATCAGCCAACGAATTCCTTGGAGAAGGAGGTCACGCCCTACTAGAACTCCTTGCCACGCCCAAGAAGGTCGAGATCCAGGTGTAGCCTGCAAAAACGAAGTCTGTGAGAAGTATTTAGCTTTATACATCACTGCTAAAGGACAATCCGGAGCTTGTAGAATTCTCCATGCTTGTTTAGCAAGGAGAGCCTTATTATTACTGTCGAAATCTCTAAAGCCTAGTCCTCCGTGGTTTTTATGGCGGCAGAGGGATCGCCAAGACGCCCACTTCATACCTTCATCCCGATCCTGTTGAGCCCACCAGAATCTAACAAGATGCCCATTTAATCCGCGACAAAAGGTGAGGGTCATTCTGAAGTTAAGCATTGCATAATTCGGTAAAGCATTGGCAATTGATTTCAAAAGGGTTTCTTTGCCAGCAAGGGAAAGAGATTTGGATTTCCATTGTTGCAATCGAGAGACCAACTTATCTTCAATGAATTGGAAGGTTGCTTGTTTAGATCGCTGAATATGGGTACGAAGGCCGAGGTAATGATCCTGAGTGGTCCTCTCTGCTACCCCCAGCAATGCGATCATTGATGCCGCATCTGAAGGAGAAACATTGCTGCTAAAAGTGACTGTGGATTTGTGCAAATTGACTTTTTGGCCACTAACCTGTTCATAGGCAGCAAACATAGAGAGTATGTTATGACATTCAGCATTAGAAGCCCGTAGGAATAGATAAGTTTCATCGGCGAAGAAAAGATGGGATATCACCGGGCAGCGCCAATGTACTTTCAATCCATGTAAATACTGCGCTTGAACCGCTTGATCGATGAAATGGGAGAAAGCCTCTGTATAAAGAGCAAATAACAATGGTGATAATGGATCCCCTTTACGAATACCCCGTTGAGGGTGAAAAAAGCCATGGAGAGAGCCATTGATTAAGACTGAAAAGGACACAGTAGTGACACATTGGTGGATCCACTTAAGCCATTGATCACAGAAGCCCAAACGCTGCAACATTGAGAATAAAAATTCCCATTCAACCCTATCGTAAGCTTTTTCCATGTCTAATTTTAGGGTCATCCATTTTTCATATACCATCGTCTATCTAGGAATTCATATTTGCGGCTTTAGGGTCCTTTTGCTTGCACCTCATTAGCATGATTAAGCACATGTCACTGACCTTAATATTTCACCACATGTTTGCACCACATCTCTCTCTTCTCGGGCAATACTTACACGCCTGACCTGCACAGCACCACACCAATCCAAATTGAATAAATACTTCATTCAAAAAGCAAAAATCGTCAGTTAAACGACTAAACACACATTATCTTTCATATTATAAGAGATTTTATAAAGAACTTAGTGTCCCAATCCACCACAAATGTGGTTTGTGAAAATTGATGAGGCAGACTCAGGCCTGGGGTACGACATCTTTTGTTGCTTTCTGTTATACACACCAATATAAGTACAAGAAAATTCTCTGAACTTTCATGGTATCAGAGCCTTCACGTCTCACACCAATATAATCTCTCGATCTTCCCTTCTACTCCTTTCTTCTTCCCATATCTTTCTTGATAGTCATGTTGAATGGCAATTCTTTTTCTTTTGCCACCTCAAATCCAATTGGCCCTCCCATCTCCTCATCAACTCCTCCTTCCGAAACACCCTCCTCATATTACTTTGAAATTAAACCCTACCAATTATCTCCTCGGGAAACTAAGAATCTCACCGATATTAGCGAGATGTAGTAAGGAACGAGTCGTCGATGTATTTGTCTAGATCATAGTTGGTGATAAGAGGAAGAAGTTGCAGTTTCCAAAGGAGATAATTAGCAGGGTCTAATTTCAAAGACAATATGAGGATGACTGGGTACTGTTCGAGAAGGAGGAGTCGATGAGGAGACGAGGAGGGTTAGTTGAATCCGAGTTAGCAGAAAAAGAAGAAGAATGCATGACTGATCAATTTGGCTATTAAAAAAGAGACGGAATAAGTAGAAGGGAAGAACATGAGATCATATTGTCATGAGGCGTAAAACCTCTGATACCATGAAAATTCGGAAAATTTTCTTGTACTTTCGTCATTGTCATGCAACAATTTATACAAAGGAAAAAATAGTTCATATGACTAATAGTATAGATCAGTTAGAGAAATACAGGGTAAAGTAAGTAACAACAATATTTGGGTAACAAAAAAAGCAGTAAAAGAGGCATTAAACTCGTTCTAATCTTATCAATTCCAATATGATCATCAGCCACTTTCGGTACTTTTCTTAATTTCTTTCGTTGTTGGTAATTGGGTAATGTCCATTTACGTCCTCGCTGACCTTTTCTCTGTTAGGGATGACTTATTTTAATATTTAATCATGTGACTTCAGATGACTATGCCACGTCATACAACCACCGGCCGACGTTAGCTCTTCGCCGCCATGTCAGCCTGATAGTGAAAACTCGAAAAGTGGATAGCAATGTTTTGCACGTTTAGTAGTGGTGACGAGATCACACAACAAAATCTGTAGTTTGGATGCTTATTGGAAGGTTTTTCATATTTTGCTAGCTTATCCGATATTTGTTATTAAAGTTTAGACTAATTACTCTTACAGACCTAATGTTCTGTTTGACTGAATGTTTAGCTCCTCTAATTTCGAACCACGCACAAATTTGGTCCATGACAAAAACAAACAACTACATATATGCTAATACGATGAACGCATCGTTATCCCTCACTCATAATTGGCAGGACTTCAAAGTAGTGATAGTAATAGGGCAGTGTGAGATGAGTATCTCGACTCAAACCATACATGTATGTATTAAGTGCAGGTCGGGTCGATCAATACTTGTGCAGGTACGGGACATGACAAATCGGCCCAATCCCACATGTATCATGTGAAGAAAAGTTATGCAAAACTTCAGCTGTTTTTACTAGAGAAAACAAAGAGAAACTGTTTTACGATTGAAAAATATACGCAGTTGGTCGAATAATATAGTCTAATTAATTGATAGATGGAGTGTTGTTCAAAGGTTCACTGGGGGTGAATTTTTAATTTAAGAAAAGTGGAAAGATGAGAAATATAATAATATATTGATGCTAATTAAGGTAGATTGGGTCGAGAGCTGGGTAGGGTCAAAGTAGTATCCATCACCTGCCTCGCGCTACGACGGATAGTGTAATACATGCTCCAAATAGGTCATGGCGTTTTAGATCACACGACTCAAGTTAGATTGACATCCACTATTTCGAAGAGTCCTAAGCAACTGTATTAATTCATGGTTTTAACTTTAAACGTAAGGTCTAGCATAAAATTACAATGTGATCCCAATGACAGATCATTTCCATATCTATATGTAAGGTAATGTGTGCACTTGTTTGCCCTCTCTATAGATTTTTAAGACAATGACTTGCCAACCTCTAGTTGCCGGTGAAACTATTGTATTACTGAGATATATGCTGATAGCTGCTACGGTCTGTACTTTAAAGCACTTTCGTAACAAAATGCTTATTTAGAACTCTCCTATATGTGCAAGGACCAAATGATCAGATCCAAAACTAGAAGGACTATTGTGTTAATTTGTAAATTAATATCTGGAAACCTCTTATTGTACTAGTCCAGCTTTAATTTTGTAGATAATTAAGAATCTAACAACAGATTAGTTGATAGAGCTTTCTGTGATGGGTATGCACTAATCTTGTTTAGCGTTAAAGATAGGAATCAATTGGGAGGGGAGATTCAGATAAGATTACTATGGGTTTTTATCTTTAACAGCCCTTTACTCCAGATTATATTTAATGTGAACCAAAAATTAAAAAAAAAACCACTTATTTATTAATTAAACTAATGCCCACAGCTTGGTCCTTTGGATATACGTTAGGGGATATCTTTTGTGTCATGATCTCAGATGATAAGGTTCCATTTTTTAGAGAGTCACTTTTTAATACTTAAATAAAAATTAGGAAAGGATTAGTTCTTATGTCATCCATTGATGCACTACAACAAATTTACTAATCAGCTTGTGAAAGGATCGAGTATCAAGTCGCGGCAATGAAGGCTACTTGTCAATCTTAACTTTCCTTCAACAAGGACTAATGATCTTCATTGTGACTGGACAATATTTTTTTTCGTATAAGAAAAATTCGCTAAAGATGAAAATCTCGGTTTCTATACCTGACAGACCCATAAAAATAATTCAGTCGGGCATATTACTCATGTTACCCATAGTTTGATCCAAATAATTTGATTTGTCAAAGCCGATACGAGAGCAAAGGTTGTTGATATGCGTATGATTCCTTTGTGTCTAGATGTCTGACAATGTATAGACATATAAAGTAATGATGCAAAGTTCATTCTTGTGTGCTTCCTATATTACTAAAATCTAACTTATTCTTGGACTCTTGGTAATTACTAAGTCGATGGAAATCATCGAATTCTTGTTCAATTTAAAACTATTCTTTCAATAACCAATAGAAGAGAAAATAATAAGAAAGAGCTGTGATGTATCACTTGTAGAAAGGTTTCAATTTTTTTTTTAATCGGTTCAAGGTTATCAGATGCTTTTGCGTAAAATGATAATATGCTTGCATAAAAATTCATTACTTATTTGTTTATTGATTTGATCTTTGGGTTCATCACCAAGCTAATCACAAGCTAAAATTAAATAATAAATGGTGATAGTAGCAACAGATAAGTCCCCCCTTTAAAATAAGATAGAGATAAGGGTTTTAGTGATGAAGGTGAAACAATTAAAAGATGATCTACGTGGTATTGATTACACTCCAGATTCCATAAACATGTTTAGTGGATCAATGGTCCCCAAAAGTAACTCCTTAATCCATTAAGTTTCACTTTGCATTTTTTTTTATCTTGCTTCAAGGTTAATTTGGCCATTCCTTTAATTTTGCCAATTTGGTCATTTTGGTACACGAGCTTTAAAATTAATCATTGTGGTACATCAATGCTCATTCTTTGTTGTCTTGTTTCATATATATACTTTCTCAGTTATAAACAACAATACGATCCCTCAGCTATGATTTCTCTATTGTTTTTTTTTATTGATCGTCTCTTTAAGTTTCAATCTTTTCTTTTCTAATCAAGTCCCTCCCAATAACTTGTAGTTAACATACCATTAAATTAACGGGGAAAATCTTGATACCTTCTATTTTTTTTAACTAACCATGCATGTTACCATATATTATAATAATTAAGGAAAAGTCATCATTCTGACTGGCTGAGTCCATTATTCCTTCCTTTGCGTGTATGTCCAAATAGCTTCTAATTTTCAATTATACACCCGATTAAAGACCAAAGAGGAACCCAGGTAAGACAACCTAGTTGGTAAAAGAGCTGGGTTTCGAGTTTGGGATGTGACAAGGTCTCAGGTTCGAATCCCAGTACCACCTTCTTGGTGTTCCTGGAGGCACCCTTGGTACAGGAGACGAAGTCTCCCCGATAATGGTAGCACAACGCCGGGCACTGCGCCGGTACCCCCAGGTTTAGTAGGCTCCGCTGTCACTCATGTGGCATGTGGGTTGCTGATGTTCCTGGGTTATCAAATAAAAAAAAAGACCAAGAGAAACCACTATTTCCGTACCATATTTATATATAATTAACTTCATTTCATATCTTCAATTGGTCAAAGAAATTATCGAAACAGAATTATTGGGTCTAAATTTAATTAAGACATTTTTTTTTATGTGCCAACTTGTTGACCACACAAAAACAAGGGGACTAGTGGGCAAATAATATGACTTCCAAGAAAGAAGAAAAAAAAAACAAATAAGATGACAAGTAGACTAACAGAAAATATATGTATATTCGTAGATACATTTCTAGACAGAGAGTGATATAGAGAGAGAATGAAAGAGGCCAGGCTGGCAAGGAGAATGGATATGACTCGATCACGTCCATGGCCCAATGCGAATCCAACTGTGCATAACGAAGAAACCCCTCCTCAAGTCGCTTTTGTTGACTTATTATAGCATCATGGGCATGGCAAGGAAATCCAAAAACAAATAAACATATACGAAGAAACTGCATATACCAGTTTGATTTTGATCCCTAATTGATTTCGATTTTATATCAAAACATTGCACTGAAGTTTCCTTTTGGTTTCTTCTCTGTGAATTAGTAATGTCTCACAAAGTCCTCTTTTGACAATAATATCTCACAAGTCATAACCAACAACTTGAGTCATATTAGAATAATTAAATTACCAAGGCATGCATAACGATCGACCAGAATT